ATGGTTAAAACTTATATGAAAATACATGAAATAAAATATTGATATAAAGATATAATTACCTCTTCATCAACTAATGTCACAATTTTATCGGGTGCCTTGATTTTTTTTTTGTTGAATTCTTTTACTATTCCACTCCCAATCACTAAGACTCGTATTACCCAACATGAATCATATACTCTTAGACTATTAATTGGAACACATTGATGGTTCATTAAGTATTCAAACTAGACATATTCTTTCGAATTACGTTAGCTGGCATTAAGTACGACTCACTTGGATCGCACCAAGGTTTCGTTATCCCTAATCCCACCTTTAAACCCTCCGTATTGATCCCTCATATACGTTAGGAGTGATGTTGTTCAACAACTACCTAAATATGCACTCTCTCCCGAGTAATATACACTAAATAGGCACAGTGGATCGAAAGCTCTTCAACCAACAACAATATAAACGTAGTTGAACAAATAGAGAAAAAGCTACAACAAATCTATATTAACGTAACAGGAAAATCATCCTTCAAGAGGTTCCATCAAAACCCTAGATAACAAATTACCTATTCATAATAGTATGCAAAACTACAATACTATAATTCATAACCAATAATGAAAAATAGGAAGAAGGAAGTGAAAAACTCGTAGAAGAATTCTCCTCCTTGCTCCTAGTGTGTTCTTGCCTCCTTATGTCGAATCTCCGATCTAATGTCGGTCTCCCTGTCCAATCTCGGTCTGTCGTCTCGACTGTCTCCTCTCAAGGTGGCATTTTTAGGTCTATTTATATGTGTAGGAAAATACCTAAACGTGTAGGTCGAGTCCTAGTCAAGCCAGGAAACGAATTAAGTTTTCAAAACTCGGACTGGACCTCGCCCTAGGCATAGCTTCGCCAGCCTAACGCCGGCCTCAGCCTGGCCTTTGGCTGGCCTCGCCGGGCTAAAGCCTGGTTAAGCTGGCCTTTGCCTGGCCTCTCCTTTTCACTGTTCTCGAGCCTACTTTTAACGTTTAAGTATCCCTTTTGCTCTACTTTCATCTCCAATTCACCTACACATAAAATAGACTCCATTACACGCAAATAAAGTATAATTTATCATTAAAGCATGTAAAATGCAAGGCACATAATGTACGAAACTATGAAATTATAGCCACACATCAATATTGAATTTAGCTACTGCATTAATATAATAATATTTATATTCATCATTTAGTCAAATGTTCGTATTATTTTAATGTCACACTATTTTTATTGATTGACGTGTTATACACGTGCAACGCGCGCATACTAAGGTTCTTGAACCAATTGAACCAATGTTGAATAAGATATTTAGAGCCCGTTTGGACATACAAAATTTTTCCTTTTTTTAAAATTTTTTTTGAAAACAATGTTTGGTTATCCCATTCTTACCAATTTTTCCTTTTTCACTTGAAAATTCATTTTCAAATTTGAAAAACTGGTTCTCGCCAGTCTTTCAATTGAAGATGGGAATTTGCTAGTTTTTAGTTTTACAAATTTACCCTGTATTTTAAAAATTTATAAAATGACCCCATCAGTCTTTCATCTTTGGCAGATACATCTTTGGCGACTGATGGTGGAACATCAGTCCTAGTTGATACTCGAACTCTGCCGATTGGAAGTTTGATTATATGGTTATGAGAAATATGTGGCTATGCCTGCTTTTGCACCTTCTTTGTGTGTTAGTAGAATTAGAAAATGTGATATTGATTTTGCATCTTCTATGTATTGGAGTAAAGCAGAATATGATAACAATTAAAAAATAGTATTTTGATTGATTATTTCAAGTAGGATAATCAAATTGGGGTGGTTTTGATACTTTTTACAAGTTGTGGGATATAAATCATGTTTCATGGTTTAAAAAAAAAGACATTCAAAATGTTGCAAAAATATTAACTAAACACAACTTTATCTTCAATTCAAATTTTAGTGAAATCCAAATTTGGAAAAAAAAATAGGGAAAATTTCACATTAGAACAACTGGGCTCCATACTTTTTAATTTTATAGCCCATATTTCAATTTACAACCAACTAGCCCATAAATAATAGGCTAAGATTCAACATCCAACTCCAATAGGTTCTCAAAATTACTATTTAATTTTAAAAAAAGATTCCTCAAGCTTTTAAATTACTTTTCGAATCAGTAATTGTAACTCAAATATTAATTTAACAAACCAACTTCATTTGGGTGGTGAAAATTAAAATTTTAACAAGCTTAAATATGTGGGTTTAAATTTCGAATTTGATTTTATGAGAAATTTGGAGTGGGTGTTATTTAGACTTGTTAGAAATAGTATAAGGAGGTCGTATATAAAATTTGAAGTCATTTAATGGAGATTTGGACTAGTTTTGAATAAGAATTGCAACTGAAAATCGTGGAAGAAGTTCGTCTACAGACGCTTGTATAAAGGTGTATAAAAGTGTATAACAGTGTATAAGGTGTGTTTCTACACTCATATACAATATTGTACATAATTATACAAAAAACTGACTTCGTCTTCTTTCTTGCGTCTTTTCTGAAATTTAATTCAAATCTTGCTCAAATCTACTCCAAATCACTTCAAATTTAAATTTTGTACTCCTTTTGATATTTTCAATCAATTGGAACAATACCCAATCCAAACAACTAACAAATTCAAAACAACCCATTTTCAAAAGCAAAGCTTTGAATGATCTTCAATGGTGGACTTCTACTCTTCAATTTTCTTTCATTGCAAGCAGGTGACACAAGAGGAGAAGCAGAAAATACACGGTCCTTTGAAGCATATGTAAAAGATGTGAGAAAAAGAGAGAGTGAAAGCAATAGTTGTGAGAACAAAGAATTAACTCCATAGCTTTTAGAAGCAATTGTTGTAAAAAAATATATTTTGAATTTGCAAGTGCTTTTAAAATATGTACAATGTGGGCTAGGTGGGGTAAAACTTAAAAATATGGGCCATTTTTTGTTATGGTGTGAAGTCATGTGTATTTTCTTGTAATTCTTTCTACTTAATACACTATTTAGTTTCCACAATCTAATATAAGAATCTATCTATTTATATTTATATCTATCTATATCTATACTATATGCACGAAGGCGCTTAGCGAAATGCCGTTTGACCGTTTTACCCTTTCAAAATCGATGTTACATTGGAAAAAGATGTAATTTAATTTACATTTCTAATATTTAGGACTTTGAAATCTTACATTCCTAACATTTAGGATTTTGAAATCTATTAAAATTTTACTTATTAAATTGTTCCATATTTGAACTATATAGGTAGGAAGCCCTATTATTTAGGATTAAAAAATATATTATGCAAATAAGTAATAAACGTATAAAATTCCTCCAGCAAAGTAAACTAATCCTATTACATAACATCTTCAAAATTGTATTGGACAAAAAAATTTTAATTTTCGAAAATAAAATAACTTTGAAGTCATTATCGACACTTTCATATATTTAATATTTGACCTCCTTTCATAATATATTTTCTCTTCATTGTTTCTTTCATAATATTTGGAACTATACTAAATGAACAAATCACTAAGTACTTTCTCTTCATCGATTATATGTGTAGTACTTGAGATTACTCTCAACAATTTAAAAGATAAATAAGAAAATTAAAGAATGTAAAAACAATTACACGTGAACAATATGGAAAGATAATAATTTTGAGATAGAATGTGAGCTTATTGATCAAATTCATGTTTGTTTGAATTTACATTTTCGACATAAGAAATTACGAAGTTAGTTATACCATAATTTGGTACTATTTTGATTTTATATTTAATGTGGGATAATAATATAGAGATTAGCTATGTATCACAAGAAAAAATATAATCAAATGACCAAAATATCCCCCTTCAAAGCTTTTCGCCTAAATTATTTAAAAAGTCTAAGGTTAATATTAAAATAAAAATTTATTCAAGTTTATATATGATTAAATCAAACAAATATTTCTATTATACTTCGTATATTCTATTTTTATCCAATCACTCAAACATCTACTAAAATAATTTATATCCAATAAAAATTTTTATATTATGTAATCACTACATTATAACCTACGTATAATTTTTTGGGGTATTGTAAACGAGAGTTTATTAATTATTTTCTTTCTTTTCCATTCATTCCAAGAAATATATATCTGTTTATGTATTACTAAGTTATTTGTTGTAAAATATTAACTCTAACAATTTTGATAAAAGTATTTATGCATAAATATTTATTTTTAATATTAGGTCACAAAAAGTAACAATAAAATTTCATAAGATGTTCACACAGAAGTCTTTAGAAATTGCAATAAGGCATCTTTGAATTTATATGGAGAAGGATTTCTTTCTTTAGTAAGTCAGCTAAGTGAGATCAACATTCACTACTTTCAAAAACTTAAACTTTTTTATTTTTTCTTTTATAACTCAAATATATTATTTAATTATTATTTATATAATTTTTTAAAATTATATATTTGTTAGTATGGATACACGCATGAAACGCGTACCCTAAAACTAGTCCAGTAAACATACCCGATAATATTAATCCATTTACTTTTTTATTGGCTTGTAGGGAAATGCCACGTCAACATATAAGAACCACTGATGTAAAAGTTTTACATGATACTATTTATCCGGTAAGATTTACCCACAAAATATTTCTTCATTAGATAAAATTTCTTGAATAAATTAATCTGTCAAATTTTATGATCCGCAAGTTCAGTGATCCTGAGGCCAAATCGAAAATATATCAGGTAGCCACTCTAAGAACTGCTATTTAGGAATTAGTCAGTGCTTCATGAATTTTCATTTTTTAGTACAAATTTTCAGGATAAAAATGTTCTGAAGTTAATATTTTTAATTTTAAATTTCACGATAAAATAAATAGTGGCTAATCTTTAAATAACATCCTTAAGAATGGCTATCTGTGCACTTGCCCCGTAAGCCATCGGCCCATAAAGTTGGGCCATCCCTAGTTACTGTTGCAAGCTCAAAATCGATCAAGCCCAATATAGATCTTGATTACCGCTGATGTAGCGCTCTTCCCTCTTCTTCCCTTCTTGTATCTTTGCCGCCTCCCATTTTCTGCTTAATTCATGCGTTTTTTTTTTTGAATAAAATCCACACTGGATAGGAACTAACACAGAAGAAAAATATGCCTCGTACTACCACTTTGGAGTGCCCTGGTTGCCCTCCTCTTAGAGCTTTAACTTTTGACATTCTTGGATTAATCAAAGGTAAACCCATTTCAGCTTTAAATTTCTCCTTTCAATAAAGTTTGAATCCCTTTCTTCTTCAACTAACGCTAGTATCTTAAGTTTTTTTTTGTCTATTTTGTTTGAATTAAAACTGACCCTCTTTAGCTTAGAATTAGTGGTGCCAATTTCTTACGTATCTTTGTTGGGTGTAGTTATTGAAGGTAAGGGTGAGCAAAAGGAAGCTCCTAAGGTGGTGGAAAGATGGGGGGAGCCTGATGCTTCCAGGTGTGTGCTTGCCACGTCAATTGTTGACCGTGAATTTGACCCTGTAAGTTGAACTTTGCTACATTAATTATGTGCTATACTATTGTACTTGTGGGCTAACATCTGATTTGGTGTGTTCAAGTTACAGCTCGGCCGAAAATCAGGTTATGTGCTTTATGTAAACATGTATCATGGTTATGCAAGTTAAACGCCCCTTGAGGCGTATAATTACTTCATACTTGCATCATGCAATGAATCATCTTGTTTAATTTTTTGATAAGTAGAATCATCTTGTTTTGGAGGTCAAATTGTGCAAGAATGCCGTAAAAGATTTCTTTTAATTTCTAATCAGTGTAGATGCAGTAAAGGTATTACTTAGAAGTTAGAACTGATTTGGAGAATATTGGATATTTATCTTCAATTGCCGGTGATGTAGTCTTTGAGTGTTATCTACTTCCAAAAAACGTACTTTGACAATAGATATTGACCTTTGTCGTTCTCTTTCCATTTTTTGCAGCTACTAGGTGTAGCAAGGAAAAATGGCTCGGTGAGGCTTTATCTTTGATCAAAATCGAGATAATATGAACTTGTCAAGTTTTCTCGAGTATTAAACCTTATTTGTGCATCCTTTACTACATTTATACTGTACAGATTGACGTGCTTAGTCCTGTCAATGGAGATGTTCGTGCCTCCATTTCAAATGGAAGTCAAAATGAAACAGGATCTGAAGATAATTCTGTAGTTGGCTTACATTTATTTGGAAAAGAGAGATTGGACTCATCATCAAGGTACTTAGACCTGCTTTAGAGAGTACAAGAATGAAATATCTGATCACCCAGGTTAACTCATGGAGTAAGCAACTTGTAGAAGTAAATGCATTCTCAGACTTGGATACAGAACAATAGCTTGGTCCTTCTCTTTAAAAATCCAAATATTTAAATATGTATTTCTCCTGCGCTTAATTTGTGTGGAAAGAAGATTACCTTCTGATCGAATGTGTAATTGACACGTGAATTGGCAAAAGATATTCGTGGAGTTGTTTGGCGTGCGGATGGAATAAGGTTGGGTTATGTTTTCCACATATCCTAATGACTAATGAGGAATATAACTTAGTAATGCTCTTTAAATTGTGAATTTTATCCTATAAATAAAGTGCATGCCAACCTTCGAGGCCGGGGCTCAAATCCTGGCAAAGACAAAGTATTAGGTGATTTCTTCCCATCTGCCTAAAATAGAGTTACCAGGTACCTGTGTTGGTCGGAGGTAGCTGGTACAAGGTGCGCACATGTTGGCCTGAACACCACCTTCTGAAAAAAAAACCTGTTGTAAATATGAGGCAGAGGGATAAGAATAATATGCGACATGCTATTCTTGGCTTAATCTAGACCGATGCTATTTCTACTTCTGATGTTAGCTTTTGTGAGCAAGACCCTTATCTGTTAACCAGGTGCCAAACACGAACTAAATGTGTATTTTTTGGTGTCCCACATGATGCCAAACATGAACTCAACATGGTATAAGAGTGATTCGCCTGTTATCCCATTTGCTATCCATGAACTGCGCAGCCTCTTATGAATATCCTTATACAAATGTAATTATAAACTTCTGGCCTGTACCCAATAGGTGAAGATTGGAATAATTGATGGTCACTAGATTATCATTTCATATTCCATTATATCCAGAGTCAACATCATCTAGGATGGTGATTAAAATTTAAAACACTTTAGTGTTTGGAATGAGTTATTAACTACTGGTAAGTAACTAGCATTGCATGTGGTGTGCTTGCTCTGTGTTGGCCTGCATGTGGATTGAAGATTAAGATTGCCTCAGACATGTGGCATCATTTTTGAGGAATCTCACTCAGAGGAAATCAGGCTTGTTTCTGAAAGTTTTTCTTCTTAATTTTATATTTATATATTTTCTACATTTATAGGTCATGTTCCATGCTTACATGCACAAGAAAAGGACAAGCAAGCATGAAGTGCATTAAAATGTCAAAGTCACCTGAAGATTCTGGTAGTGAAGATACTCAAACAACATGGAATGTTTGTGGTTCAGGCAGTATTTTGTGCTCTAAGGTAGATGCAGATGAAAATTATGCATTGTTTGGTGGGTGAGTAATCGTGAATATANGTGTTCTTTATTTTTTGTATTTATTATTCCGCAAACAGCAGTAGTTAGTACACCTAGAAGAACCAGGTTCTTCTAGAGCGAAAATTGGGTACCACACAAATCACCCCCCCTCTTGTGTGGTATTGACGTTTAGAACATCAACAGGCCTTCGAAAAGGTCAGAGAAAAAGAAGTTATTGACTTCATCTGGGACCACAGCATATGCCGGTTCAGGATACCTGCTGAGATTGTATGTGATAATGGAAAACAATTCATCGGCAGCAAGGAGACAGAGTTCCTCAAAGAACATAAAATAAAGAGGATCTTATCATTTCTATACAGTCCAACTGGAAATGGACAGGCCGAGTCAACAAATAAAACTATCATTCAAAACCTGAAGAAAAGGTTGGACGATGCAAAGGGGAAATAGAGAGAAGTTCTACCCGAGGTCCTTTGGGCATATTGAACAATATCGAAGTCTAGAACGGGGGCTACTCCATTCTCTTTAGTATATGGCTCCGAGGCCCTCATCCCTGTCGAGGTCGGACAACCCAACACCAGGTTTCGACATGCATCGGAGGAGTCAAATCACGAGGCTATGAATACTAGTCTCGAGCTATTAGATGAAAAACGAGAAGCAGCGCGTGTTCGGATGGCCGCACAGAAGCAAAGGATCGAAAGATACTACAATAGAAGGACCAACCTTCGACACTTCGAAATCTGGGACTTAGTTCTACGGAAAGTCAGCCTCAATACTCAAGACCCGAATGAAGGGAAACTGGGCCCGAATTAGGAAGGACCGTACCGAGTCCTCGAAGTTGTCGGCAAAGGATCTTACAAACTTAGCACAATGGAAGGTGAACAATTTTCGAACAATTGGAACATATCATTACTCAAACGATACTATTGCTAAGGTATGAATGTATCTTCCTTGTCCATTTAAATTTAAAACTAACTCATTGCAGATGTTCGATCAAAGATATCGAAGGCACCTTTTTACATGACGGCCTTAGGTTTTAAAGCATGAGTTGCACTCTTTTTTCCTTAGGTCGGATTTTGTCCCAAATAGGTTTTACCAGAAAGGTTTTTAACGAGGCAACAACTATATGCTACCTAAGGAGAACTCAACAGTATCCAAGGCTTCTTTTCAATCAACCTCGAATACTGGGAGGGCATCACCCTTGGAGGTCATATTTTTAAGGAAAATATTTCACGACTAAGAGGGCCTCGATAGGAGAACTTTGTATGGGCCAAACGCAGATGAACCGTGTCCATATAGAATAGTCGAGCCCCGACGGCAAAACATGTACGCATGTATCAATTATCTGAAGAAGCATTCTGTTTATATCAAAAACACTTTGTGTCTCAAATAGGTTTACTATTATACGAGCTCTACACTTATAATCCTATGGGAAACAGCTCAAGAGCCAAAGCACGAATGCACCCCCGAGATACTCGGGGACTGTCATCGACAGTCAACACATTTGAGTCATTAAAAACTCGGACTCATAAGACCTTAAAGAGGATTCCTCTCAATACAAAGGCCAAAGCCAACATACTCGGGGACCGGGAAACAAGTCCAAGAGACATACCCGAAGGCTACGGCCATATTAAAGGCTACGGCCATATCAAAGACTACGGTCATATAAAAAGGCTACGGCCAAAATAATGCAGCTCGGAGACGTCCGACTTCTGCCATAAATTAAAGGCCTTCAAACACTTTGAAAAAACCGGTTAAATCGGGCTACCCTCAGCAAAAGCAAAGATAAAGGGCTTCGATAAAATCAGCCCTCGAATAATTTAGAGGCTTCAATAACATCAGCCTTCGAGAAAATCTCAAGAGGTATTTGATTATGTTTACACAAACAAATTACTAATAAGGTTACGATCCGTCGAACCTTTGAAAAACCCAACGGGTTCAAAAAACACATGCTAAGGCATACAAAAAATTTCACTAAGTCTTTTAGCCGAAAAGAGGGAAAAATTATAGCCACTTTAGAGGCCGAATTGGCCCAACTTAAAGAGCCTATGGGACAAGCTAAAAGAGCCTAAGGGCCGACCTAAAAGAGCCTAAGGGCCGATATAAAAGAGCCTAAGGGCCAAACATATAGGGTTCGAGACCTCGTTCTCACTCAACTCGGACTCAAGAGTCCCATTATCCCGAGCTCACGCCAAATTCACCTAAGCCTAGATCGAAGACTAACAAAAACCTTAAGAGGTATTCTATTCTAAGTTCGAGGATCACACGTTGATCACTAAAAAACCTAAGGTTGTTATATTCAGAATCCGAGCCAAGGTTCACTTAATCATTGAAGTTATCAATTTTTTCACAAAATAAAGACAATGCGGAATCAAAGATGAAGCAAAGGAATTCTTTATAGAGATGTTTACAAAATATATTTACAATACCCACGAGGGGTCTTTGCACAAAACACTAAAACAAAATGAAGAAACCTAAACCTACTCCAGGGCCACATCTTCGGCAGCTGCATCTTTGGGAGCCGCACCTTCGGGAGCCTCATCCTCGGGGACTTCATCTTCGTCTCCTTCGCTCTCGTAGCCACTGGCTGAATCCTCGTCATCTGAAAGCAAAGCGGCAGCTTCTTCTTCCAAAATCTTTGCCTTTTCAATATCGGCTGAGAGGTCGAAGCCGCGAGAATGCACCTCTCCGAGAGTTTCTCTCCAGGACTGTAACCTGGCGTGGTCTAGTGCGCATGATAGCTTATCTTTGGCCGCAACAGAGATCTCCTTTGCCCAGGTGTTAGCTGCTTCACCTTCATCTCGGTACGAAGATATAAATACTTCTGCGTCAGATTTAGCCTTGGCAAGCTCAGCAGCAGATTTGGCTTCAAGTTCCTCGATTTTGCGGCTCCGGCCAGGCTCTCCTCCTTCACACTTTGAAGCTGGCGTTCGATTGAAGCCAGTTGCTCCCGAAGAGTATCTTTCTCCGAGGCGAGACGGTCCATGCCTTGCCTCCACCCTAGGGTCTCGGCCTCCTTCATCTTGAGCTCCTCTCGGAGCTGCTCCACTAGCTCACCCTTTTGTTGAGCCTCAAAGTTGAAGTGTTAGCCGACCAATCGGACAAATGCACTTTACTACTTTGGGATTTAGGCATAGCTGATGAATTACAAACATGTATCTTTTATTTATCTTAAATCGGTACGAGACAGAGATCCTCAAGTACTTAAAGCTGGAATTTGGATGCAGGTTTTCTTGAAGCAGCATCTTAGCAGTGTTGTTTTTGATTCAAAATTTTCTGCGAGAGGTAAGCTTTCTTCTACTTCTCCGAGCTCTTCGGTGATAATGCCTTGGTCTGTATGACTGTATCTGTTTCCAGATAGTACTAAATATTCTCTTTCTTTAGACATCAACGAATTTTCTTCAACTTGGATTTCCGTCTGCCTTGTTCTTATGTTTCCCCTCTGACTTGTGGAATATAATTTCTTTATACGGTCCAGTACACTAAATCCTTTTAGAATTTAGTATAGGAATTTGTTAGGAGAAATGGAGACAGAATGAAGTTATCATTTTTATATATTCTGGGTAGTCTCCCATACCATACTAGCAGGCTTACGAGCGTATTTGGAATTCTTTGGTCGATTTTGTGCACTACTATTCTCTTTGATTGCCCCAGGAGTTCTTTGATTGTTTTTATCCATGTTTTTTTCCCCCTTAGTTTAATAGATTCTACCAATTACCAAGACTATTTTCTACCTAGCTTTTTCGTCTGATCCACATACCTTCCCCTCCGCTCCTTGTTTGCCTTTTCTTCTCTAAGATCTAACTATCCTAACAAATAGATGTGTCATTATGCTTGTTCAGAAGCTCAGGTACCTCCTCAGCAACAACATCCAGATGAAACATTACAGATGGAAGAGGAGGAAGGGAAGCCGGTTAAAAGGAAGAAAGCATCAAAAGAACACAGCGGAAGCAAGAAACCAAGGACCAAGAAAAAGAGTAAAAGGTCAAAAGGAGACAGTAGCGATGCTGCTGCATAATCAATTTACTTCCTGGAATCCCAAAAGTCTCGATGACATGTTACGCCACCAGTTAAGCTAAAGGACCGTAGCATACACCAGAACGCGGTGATTATCAGTGAGAATTCTTGACTTGGTTGCATTTGTGTGCGCAAGTAGAAAGAAGACGGAAACTTGAGTTGGTATTTGCTGAATATAAGCGCCGCTTTGTGGTTCAGGAGGGGTTTCTTGTGTATTATTTTTCCCAAAAAAAGAGAGGCAGGCTGAAGTTAGTACCTGATCATCTTGTTTAGTCTTTGTAATGCTTGATTATACAGATGACGAAATATTATGTATTCCCATTTGAAAGGCATTTTTGGAAGAGTTTTTTCTATTTTATAAAGACAATTGAGTTGGTTATAGGCGGCTCTTGTATGTGCTTTGTTCAAGCTAAACACCAATCTTTTCAGATTAAAACAACTATTTGAAAGGGGTAAAAATGACGAGAGAGAAAATGCGCCTGTACTTTTACGACCACAACATGATATTTTTTATTCTCCCTAAAACTATCAATTTCTCATATCCATTTAGTAATTATTTTGGAAAGTATAAAAGAAACGTTGGCATTTTCTCTTACGAAGAATATCCTAAGAGATCCATTCCAAATAGGAAAAATCAATTAGGGCCTTAAAGAAAAGAGAAACGGAAAAGGAGACATAAAACAAAGTTGGACACGGATTCTTAAGATTGAATTTTCGCCAAATTCTAACGTGAAGAGAAAAAATAGCCATGTAATACACCTGCTGTAAACCTTTTTTTCCTAGTCACTTTCCGTCAATACAACCAAAATTTCCTAATGTCACCAACAGTCTCTTCTTTTTCTTTCATTTTCAAAGGTAAGTACAAATGAAAAAGAAGAGACTGTTTACAATTATCTTTTCGTTTCTGCTGGAGTTACTAATGAATTCTATTTTCTTGTTTTTTATTTCCGTCTTTCTGAGCCGAGGGTCTATCGGAAACAGCCCCTCTGCCCTATCGGGGTAGGGGTAAGGTCTGCGTACACAGTAACCTCCCCAGACCCCACTATGAAGAAGAAGAGGTGAAAAACACTTGGCAAACAATGCCAATTTTAATATCATTCTCTTATGATTATGTCTTCGGTGGTGTGTTGCTTTTCTTGGTCTTTTCTCCTTTCTCTTATTCGATGCAAATTTAAAGGTATAAATGATCCATTGCGTAATAAGTTACAGGTATATGCATTGATGAATTATGTCTTAAAAGTCCAAGAAATGCAACATTCTTGTTGCTCTTGTTTATTTGAGTTTTTAGGGTTTCAAGTTTTTAATCGAAATATTTCAGCTTGAACCTTCATCTTTGCTAAAATGGAGCACATATAGTCTAGTTAAGAGCAAACCCAAACAAATTGCACATAACTAACGGCTTACGTGATATACCCGTTTATAAAACTCACTTTCATGATATACCTAAGTTTTGAAATTACATTACAGTATTCTAATTTGGAATACAATATCCAAATTAAATATATCACAATATTCTAATTTGGAATATACAGTATTATATTTTAGAATACAGTAGGCATACATGGTAAAATAATTTTATAAAATAAGTATATAAAGTAAAATAAATATTTTAATTATATATGGTGTTAACTAATGTTTTTAATGGACATACTGCGTAGATTATTCTTTCCATGTGCAATGTATGTGACAGTAGAAACGAGACCCACATAGCGGCCCATTTTCTTCAAGTAACCAATTCACCTTAAGGTCCGTAACTATGAATTTTATGGCTGTAAAAGCAAAACCGCGTTGATAATTTTATGGCTGCAAAAGCAAAACCGCGTTGATAACCCAGATGAATTTCTTCTCTAAACACAATGTGCAATGAAGGATGAGCATGACTAGTGACCATTGTGTTCAAAGGCATTTTCGGGGCGAGGCGTACCAAAAATGTCCGAAGCGATAGTGTGTGACGAAAGTCTCAAGAGGTGTTACGCCCGGGCATACGCCCAGCAATTTGGGACGTACGCCCGGGCTTTGAGGTGCGTTTTTGTAGTGATGCGTAAGCCCTAGAGACTTTTTAAATTAAAACAAAATTTGTTGAATAAGTCCTTGATATAATACCCAAATTCTCAAAAGTCAGTTTGTAATTACTCAAAAGTTTTAAAAAGGAACTGAAAGGTATTAAATTAAAAGTCAAGACCTTTTTTATTGCTTGAAGCCCTAATTTATAGTCTTTTCAAATTCGTTATCTTGTCCGCCAGTCTGCTAATATCTCCCAAAAGCAGCGAATATTCACTTTTTTTTACAAATACAAAGAGACCTTCGTAGCATCAAGTTCAAAGTTCAAATTGCAGGTTAATATCCTTTTTGTTCTTCCATGTAGTAAATTTTATTCTTTTCAACTCAAGTTATTTATGCTTATAAGTAGCGTATAATAGATTGTTTTGATTAGCTTTTTGTGGAGATGGAGCCCATCTATATATATGTTTTTCACATATTTATAGTTTTCTTCAATTTTTATGTAATTTTACTTGTTTATAAATATATAAAATATTAAAAATTTAATACCCATAGGGCTTATGCCCCGTGCCTCGGAGCTTACGCCTTGCTGAGGCATATGTAAAACGCCTCGTCCTACGCCCAAGCCTCGTAAAACAGTGCTAGTGACATAATCCCAAAAATGGGCAAAGTTAAACAATACCATCAGTTCTTATCTTAAAAGAATTATTGAATTTTCGCTTTAAAATACTTTTCTCCTTTTTGAGTTTTCTTTCATGACTGCAAGATAAAAAGCATGTAGCTTCGCATGTCATTAGGGATTAAGGGCAGGGGCAGATCTACCTTATGAGGTCGGGGTGCTACGTCACCCGCTCACTTCCCTAAATTTTTTACTATTTAATGTAATATATCTGTGAAATAACATATATATTAAAGCGATGGCATCCAGAATTAACAAAGTCTATGTCGGTGTCAGTGGTTCAGCGTCTGTTCTGAAAGCTATCATTGGCCTCGTGAATGCAAGGTCGATTCCTACAGGAGCGTTATTCCTTTGTTTCTCTCCTTTTTCGTGGTTTTCCTTTATTTTCAATTGGGCCCTAGCCACACCTCTTTTTCCTCTTTTTTTTCTTCGTTTTCTTTTCCTCTTTTTTCTTCCTTTTATTTGCTGAGTTTCTCTCTTCTTCTTTATTTTTTAAACTTTTGTATACCAGTCTTTATTTTGTTTCTACTTTCTATTATTATACCTTAATTCATGATCAATTTTTTCCGGTGGCTGAACTGCAGGGATTTCTATTGTTGAGTCGGGTGAGCTAGGCTGCACTCGCCTTTTTGAATTGGCTATGCCGAAAGAGTCTCCACGTCCGCTATTCTCCGCCCGCAACCCAATAAGTTGGCAAAGGCAACACAAGATTAGGGTCGTCCCATTCATTCTATGCTGACCCCGGCCCGGGCTGGCTTCTTGGGAAGCCCGTTTGCGTCATTCATCCGGTGCTAACGGGTCACGTAAGTTAGTTAGCATATAATGTCTTTTTTTATTAAACAATATTAATTTAAATATTGGAATATAATTGGAATCGTCTTTTCTACTGGCTTTTGAAAAAAATAACTTGATTAATAGTCATTTTGGGTTGATTATTATAGGTTGAACGTTGAAGGTTTCGCTTTAAACATATTATCATATAACTCGACAACTAACATGTAAAAAATAACCCAAGAATGATAAAGGTAAATTAATCTAGTCAAACAAAAAATATGTAGTATTAAGCTGTTCTTTAAGCAAAAAATTTCATTGGAGACACTCTTTCATGAATAAAAAGGAACCTAAATCGAACTTATTTGCTTTGTGAATGAAAGACCTATTCGAGTTAACCATAAACTAACCGAACTGTCCCTTCCTTCCAATTCGGTCATGTAGCTAGTTAAAGGTAATACTTAGAGGCGTACGCATCAATTTTCATAAATGGTATCAACATCTGAAGAAGTGAACAAATGAATAGATAACTATAATGACAAAGTCAATTTTTGTAATTATATCCAATATTTTTATTTTTAATTTAATTATTATTTATATATTATATATTTAGTAAAAGTTTTTGTGGAAGCGATGTCATGTGATACCGCTTGGTGTCATGTATATTCGCCCCTGGATATATTATATGCATAAAGTAGTGGCACCTGCAACCTTCAATTCCTGGATCCGCATCTGATTAAGGGTGAAGAGAGAAAATGGTGATCTAGGAAGACAGACCTCTATTTGGCTCATGTTTTTACTGTCATTTGCAATACACATGTGATGGGGCTGTTAGTTACATGCATTCTGTTTGTGCTTGTCGTTAAGTTGGTCTTATGTGCTTCATTTTAATAAAAATAAATTTGACAATAAGTGCTCAACGTGAAGTATCAAGGACAAAATTAGATCTAGTCCTATACTTGAGGGATAATTTTGTTTAAAAACTCGTTTCGAAACATTAAACATTCCCTACTAGGAGAAATGTACCTGCATACCTCTAGGCTTTGATAGTTGTATGCTCAATGTCAATGGGTTTGATAATTGTGACTGTCAGGCAAAGGAAAGGATCAGCGTGTTACTAAAAGAATCGGACAAATAAACCACTACGCAAATTCTATTGTCACACAAATGCATGTGAGACGTTATGATTCGACTCGCTGTGAACCAAGTGCCAACCAAGCAACCTCTTTTCTATGTCAGTATCATGAAAACAAGAGCGTATGGTTAGTATCATTCATATGGATAACCAAAAAATAACTTTAGTGACATTGATAATTAATGTTGTTGATTCATGGGAAGAACTTGTGTTTTCAATCCTTGAGTTCCTCAGCTTCAGAGATGGTTTCCCTCGAGACAAGCAACTGTACAAGTTTAATCTTGAAGAAACAAAAGGTGACTTTTTAAAATGGTCTTGTTTGCCAAATCGAAAATTTATTATAGCTGACAACTCTATGTACAATCTCTATTAAAATATTCGCCTACATGCTCCCAAAGGATCCTCCGGCGCAAGCAACTAGAAGTTACAAATAGGAACTATTAAATTCTTATTCCGCAGCAGTCCAGTATTCAAGGTGTTGACTGAGGGGCTCGACGAAGTCCAGGTATCTGCAAGCAAAGTCACGTCAAAATGCATTGTTAACGAAAGTTGTAAGAAAATGATATACTTACATGTAACATTGCCAACAACAACAACAACTATGCCTCAAATCCCAAACATGTAACACAATTAAACTATGCTTTATTCCCAAAGGAAACCAAGATATTGAAGAGCAAAAGCATTTGGAATTCGATGAGGAACAGCCTAGTGATAAAGACCATCCACCTCTAACAATAAAGCCGGAGGTTTGACTTCACTACGGTCTAAGGGTACATGGGGTGGAGTCTTACCATACCCAAAAAAGTAAAATAAGGAGAGAAAAAAACTTTTTGAATCTTAAAATATCATGTCAGACACTTCAAAGTAGTTCGAAACTAACCTCAATTCCATGTGGGCCTATTCGATTATGGGAAATGAAATTGAGTAGCAAAGTAGCAAATTCATCAGGAACATCTTCCTGCAGTGTTCAAGGACAAGCAAATATTCAGGAGTTGCAATTTCAGTTACAACAACCGGCATCTTAAGAAAACCAAAATGGACCTGTATAGCGTGGCCTGTGTGTCTGACAACCACCATTTGGAACTTCCCTTGCATTTGACCTATTGTGAGGGCTCTGTAACAATAAATGGACAAATTAGTTAGAACACAAACGAGAAAGACTTAGTTCATGCTTCTAGCTTTAAGCGTTCCCAATAGCTACTACTTAAGCTTTTATAATCTATTAATAGAACAAAATGAAATCCATTTTAACTGCAGATTCTATTTTGTAGTATCTCATTGATGACAATGGGTTGCAAAATACATTATATCTGGACAAAATATATTGATAGAGTATAGCATCATGGAAAACATAAATAGGATATAACTTAATTCTAACAAATGGGTGGGTTGCACGGATGGTAAGCACTCTCCACTTCCAACCAAGAGGTTGTGAGTTCGTGTCACCCCAAGAGCAAGGTGGGGAATTCTGGGAGGGAAGGACGCCGGGATCTATTGGAAACAGCCTCTCTACCCCAGGGTAGGGGCAGAGTTGTCAAAGGCGCGCTTAAGCCCTCAAGCGAGGCTCAAAACACGTTGAGCGCTTCGCCTCGCTTTATGGGTGCTTTAGTGTCGCATCAAAGCTCTAACACGTACTTTTCCTTGCCAATGAGTGTAATCCTAAAAAGGCGCCCTTAAACAATTGATATCTCACTTTATCATAGATTTTTTTTTAAATTTCTTTGTCCATATATTTGTTATTCATGCTTATAATGATTATTCTTGGACTACTATGCATATTTTTACTTTTTCTCCCGTTGCGCCTTTTTTCATTAAAGCCCACGCTTTATTTGCGCTTAAAGTCCCAACGGACCTTAGAGTTTTTTTGCGCTTTTCACCTTTGATAACACTAGGTAGGGGTAAGATGTGCGTACACACTACCCTCCCCAGACCCCATTAGTAGGATTATACTGGGTGATTGTTGTTGTTTTAATTCTAACAAATTCAATGGTATATCCAAGCTTTAAGCTAGAATGGAGACTTCTTTTTCTTTTTTTTTTTTGGGGGGGGGGGGGGGGGGGGTGAAGAAAGTAAGGTAGTTACAATGAAGGGTATTCCCACCAGAAAACTGTTGGTGTGCAGTAAAAATCACAGAGACGTCTATCTACTGAAAACTAGGTAATTTTCACTTACATGTTCTGAAAGTTAGTTGCTTAGGTGAGATTTGGTCGGAGAACCCTATATAAAATGGTTAAAGAGTGTTAAACATAAGCACACCGTTTTCTCTAATATCTTTGTATATCTATTTCAGTTACATTAGTGGTAGTAAGAAGAGCGCTAAAGGAGAATAAACTTTTCTGAAAACAAATGATAAATTCTTTAGTTCATGGACATGCAATGGCACTAATAGGAATGTAATCCTTATGTGATTTGATAGACAAATGGCAGCCCTTTATTACTTCCACTGATAATTCCTCTGTTTGCTGCTTGTTTCTTCATATACTGAATAGTGACAAGTCTCTAGAGATTCTAAGCAGACTTTGGCAATTCTGCTTTGTGTAAGCAGTTAAGAATAATACATATTCCCAACTAGTAAATAGCTAACTGGGAGAAATTGGCTGGCATTTAGAGATACTTTTGCCAGAAGGAATGGCCATGCAATTCCTCATTACAAGTGAATCTGCAAGTACTATATTGTTTAGGAAAGCCATGCACATCAATTGTTAGGAAAGCCATGCACATCAATTGTTCCAACATGACTCACTGAGAAGTAGGATCAGAAAGGAATATACAGAAGAACCATCTCTTACATAACCACAGATCAGAAAAGGAATATACAGAACCATGTTTCATACATAATCACATAATGTTGAAGCTTCGCATGCATGCTAACAAGCATATGCAATTATAGAATTCCACATGACCTTCGATACAGAGAGAAGTACACAACCTGTCAAGTCTGTCTGTCCCAGCTAACAGCAATATCTTTGGAACAGGAGATGACAAAAACTTTTCTGAAAGGCCTTCGTACCTGAAACAAGAGCATTATAATTTCAGGTTCAAATTGACATATGCTGGAAAATGGAAAACAAGATGCTCAGCTTCCTGGTCAGCACTAGGTGTCAGACCTCTGGAAGCATGACACAGACTGCAAAATTAAGAGAACTTCTCGAGTCTACATATAGTCAATGCCATTCTAAAAGCACCGTAGCAGTTAGAGAAACCCTGACGGAATAAAAAGAACAAATTTATTTGAAAAGGAGCTTTAACTTGTGCAGCAGGTGCTATATTGTGAGACTAGCTAAGAGATTATCAGTCATTTGTTTTGCATTGCAATCATGTGATTAATTTGAGCGAACACACACTCAGAGCAGGACCACAAGCTTGGGGCTCGACGATCATAAAAATTTAACAATTAGTCCTTTTCATTCTGAGTGCTTTTAGTGTTCATAATAAATCGCAAAAGTATCTTGCTCTACTACCTTTTGGTTTGGTTTTCTTTAAAGGAAAGAGTTACAAGAATACGCACTTCTACCAATGTAGAACACTAAGCATTTTGCAGACAATTCAATGATTGAAGGCCACTTCAATAATAACTCAAACTAAGGATAAGTTTACCGTTGGGATTGACTTTGTTTGGGCAACATAGATGCCTTCCAATGTGAAGGCAGCTGTAACCAATTGGGTCGGAAAGAAATCATTGGTGTTCTGAAGAAAGATCAGAAGCAATATCTAGTGTAAATTTAGAAGTCTTCAACTAATGAATATTTGGTGTAGTAAGAAAATTATACTACATGATTTAATCAATGTATCGAACTCCAGAGGCCCCTTACATATTTAAAGGAGCAAGTCCATTAAAATCTGTAACTTCCCAGTGCTTTCTTGGTGCTGTTTAAAATATAATTCATGTCTTACTTATCATAAAAAGACTAAATATTCATTCTGTTTGACATAATAATTTTCAGCATTACCGCTATCTAGCTGAATGAATGACGACCATAACCTTCAAGATCACAAGCAAAGGAGAAGAAAATAAAAAGGCTTTTCTTTTTAATTGTTAGAGAACCAGAACAGTTTTTTTTTGATGAAGAGTAATTTCATTAAAAGGCATCAAGAAGATGACATAGCAAAACAATACAACATAAGAGTCTTCTCATGTACAAAAACTTACTGAATAGCTAAAGAGCAGACACAACCTGAAGCATAAACTGCGCAGNTGAGTAAATGACCATTTATGTAATGGCATTTATGCTGTGGGCGTTTTGCATAAACAACCATTCTGAAGAGTTGCACCTCTTCAGATTTCAGCCCAACTTTGGCTATAAATACAACACTATTCTGCTCATAATTTCACTACGATTTTCTGAGTTTCTTCTCCTTCTTCTGCATACTTTTAGCATCAAACAAAGCAAAAAATAAGTGTGATTTGCTACCGAATTTTGTGTTCGCTGAAACGCTGGGGTTTGAAGTACCACTACACCAGTGTGTAATTCGTTCTATCCTGGGAGGAAATAATCAATAACCTTGGGTACTAGGAGGGGATTAAATTCCTTAAGGAAACACTGTGAATTCAGTGAGCTCGAATTGGTTTTCTGACATTTCTGTTTATGTTCGTTTCTGTTTATATTCATTTATATTTCCAGAATTATTTTACAAATACAGTTTACTAACAAGTAACACATTAATTTTGAAGGTTTTTAACTGAAATATTAAGACCATCATACAACAACAACAAACCCAGCTTAATCCCATACGTTGGGTCTGGCTGCGGAGCCAGAATTTTAATTAAGGAGTGTCAAAATATATAAAAGTAAACATACCAAAAAATTAACGGGAGTTAATACATAGTATATATACATATAATTTATTTTTTACCTACCTACACAGTATATTTTCCCCGCGAAGGGATGTCATTTGACACCCCTTCCTATAAGGTGGCTCCGCCACTGGGCGAGCGTAGTGTATACGCACTCTTACTTCTACCTTATAAAAGCAGAGACAACTCAATCCCGTACGTGCGGTGTGGAACGAGTAGTGTGTACGCAATCTTACCATTATCCTTTAAAGACAGAGAGGATGTTTCTGATATCAAGACCAAAATATTCTTGACATAGATGTCAAAATGAAAGAATGGTTTGGTAACATGAGTTATCGTAAAGATTACGTTTGCTACAGTTCCAAACTCCAATAACCTACTATATATCCTCACTCTTCATTAATTAATTTCTTAGGTAGTGAGTATCATTGTTCTAATTGTTTCGGTTGGCTATACTTGTAAGTTATAATGATGGTACATGCTAGAAAAGAGCAGAAGTAACATGCAACTTTGTATAAGCATATATGAATAAAATTAGGTTTAGCAGTTCTGAATATATTAAGTATGGCCAAATGCTCAACCGAGGATTCGATGATATGGTTAGGATTCCTCCACTCTTAATATGAGATTTCAGGTTCAAACCTGAGAATGACCAACTTTTTGAGAGAGTGCTTCCTTTCCCATGCACCCCCTTTCTCCTCCTAATTTGTAAGCCTATTCAGCCCGAATCAAAATTAATTGGATCGATGAATTTTGAATATCAAATAGTTAAACTAAAAAAAAAATTATTGCTGGTTTTGCTGATGATGTAAAGGAAAAAATGGCCTTTTTTAGGTAACACTATATATAATCATGAGGAAAGTGGTTTGCCTTCATAATTTGGGAGCTATGCACATTTGTTTGGTTAAGACTTAAAGATGACTACTTAGTAATAGTCTCAAAACCTAGGGAACAATATTTGCTGAGAGAAATAATCATTGTATTGCCTAGACTAATTTACATTTCTGCCCAAAAAAGTGGCCCAAGATTTTTGTTTGTCAAACATTATTATTTGTGAGGTACATTTGTCCTTTTGATACAATCATAAATATAGGGGACGATCAAAGAAAGAGTAATGTGTTAGGTATATTCTTACTTCTTGAATGTAAAGCTTAAGCATTATATAATCCCCAAAATATGTCCTCTAATGAATATGTTTTGGATTGAAGTTAAGGAGAATGGAAGAGGAAAGGAAGGTTTTTTTTTTATTTAGAAACTTCTATATTGATTTTTAGGGAGAAAGGAATGGGGATAGATTATGAACAGTGTTTTAAGAGGCTGGGACGAGCCCGAGGCAGGGCACTATCAAAACGCCCTGAGACTCATGTGTGAGGCTTAGTTCTATGAGGCTTACGCCCCCAAGCGCTCGACTGTGCGCCCTTAACACACCTAACGCTCAACGCCCGAGACTCGCGCAAAAGTTCCTATGCAAATCATGTGTTGAATTCATTAATTTGCACTATTGACTCTTAAAATTCTTTAACAAATGAATGATTAAAGTTCTTTTTATCTATAGGAATATAAAAACTGTGAATAACTCAAATAACGAACCATAGTATTGCATATTTACTAATTGAAAACATCGTGAGGGTGAATATCATTTGAATATTTCTTCCAAAATAGATGACCAAAATTTATATCTTTATTTAATAGATCTTCATGGCTTAATTCTATTTCTCTCAAAATTATCATACATTTTTTGTTTACTATTTAAAATTAATTTTATATTTACTCATGAAGGAGTAATATTTAAATTACATTGATAAAATTTATTGAGTATTTATTACTTTTAAAGAGGTAAAATATGGAGTTTGATAATATTTTTTAAGAATTATAATTTTTAATTGTTTGAAAGTTAAGAGGTTATAGTTAATTTATATTTCATTGTAACTTTAATAATATGGTATTATTTATACTTGTAAAACATGCTAAATCTTTTATTTTATATGAGTTTCTTTATTTGTTTTTAGTTTTTTGAACTTTTAATGTATCTTTTATATTTTTATTGTGTTATAATGCTATATTACTAATTCATAAATTTAAAAACTGTGAGGCTTACGCCCCGTGTCTCGAGGCTTTTGTCTCGCCCGTATTAAGTAATACGCTCGCCTCACGCCCCTGCCTTTTAAGACACTGATTATGAATATTAAGATAAGTTTCGTTTACCTTGAAAATTAGACAAAACGGAGAGAAACGGAATTTCATTAATTCAATTAAACCTTTGTAATACCAACGTCTAACTTTAAACACATACATAAGATAACCAACTCAATAAAATGGTATTAGCACAATACAAACTTAATTTTTTTTATCTTTCTCATCAATTATAAGAAATATTTATATATATACATTAATAACAAATTTAAGTATATAGTCCAAGATATGGTATACTAACAGGTAGCTTGCTTTGTTTTTCAAATTATACAAATCTTTCTTTTTCTCTTCCTTTATTTCTGTTTGAAGTATCTATAAATCTTGGGCATCTTTTGGCTTTTATAAAAGCAAATGTCTTATAACTCAATAATTGTAGAATTGGGCATCAATTATTATTAGTCAAATGATATAGTTGGGAATTGGGACATATTCATCAGCTAATTATATCGACCACCCTTTTGTTTGCTCACCTTTGAACTGTTAGGTTATTGAAACATATATAACGACCTTTATAATTGTTCTTTTGGGGAAAAAGAAAGAAAGGGAAAATAGTGACAAAGGAGAGAGGCTTTTATTGGATTTAAGAATATTGGAAGGAGACATTTTTCTTCTTTTTTTAACACAAAAAAAGAATCATTTGTAACTACTTTGCTTTGGCTTGAATTTTGAAACTGAGCAACAAATGGTGGGGAATGAGAAATCATAATATTATAACAACCTCTAGTCACTATTATGAAGAATTGAAGAGTACTGAAGCCCCATTTCCTTAAAAGCAAATATCATTACTCTATAACATGTACTTGGGCCATATTAACTGATTATTAGACACTTTAGAATCTATTTGATGTGACTTTCGGGGTATGATCACCTTTGAGTCCGTGCCATAAATTATTTATATTCGGTAGCTGAAAAATTGTATAAAATTTGTATAATTTTTTGTATATAACATACAAATATATATATTTTAGCTATTATTTTAAGCGCGGCTATACAGTTTCATTTTTTCGTGGCTCTCTCCCGATCTCATCCCACACCACTACTCTCTGTTAATTCTTGAAATATCACTTCCCTTCCGATATCTACTAATCTTCATGTTCTTATTACCTAAAATTACTTTTAAACACTTTTTTGTCCATTCATTAGAAATTTCACCTATATCAAAGAAATTCAACTGTTTATTTTTAACAAATAATATCTTGTCATCAATTAAATAAAATGATACTTATCAAAGTTTATATCAAAATCATTTTTCCAATCTCTATAAACAACTATATTGGGAAACTACTCCATGAAGAAGGCTATAGGGCCATTCCAACTAGGCCCCAAAGGTGGCATAAAAGGCCCTACTGAGAAATTGGATCTTTACATTGTTTACTTTTTTGAGCTGGGTATAAATAGATTATATATTGATTATATATAATTATACACATATTAAATATAAATTAGACAAATATTATATGGAGATGGCCCATATCTATCCCTATACTATCAGAAAAGGTTTAAGTGTACCCCTCGTTATACTTTGATTCCGTATATACCCATGTTGTTATACTATTGGTTCAAATATACCCCTTTTTCGTTAAGTTTGTCCAAAGTGGACATCCAATCCTACATCCCACTGACATTTGATAAGGTGGATGCCACATGGCTTTCCACCTCAGCGCCCCTAACCCATTTTACCCCTCCCTTTCTGTTTTTTTTTTTCCACCACTAAAATTTTCTTCCCCTCCACCACTATTGCCACCATTACCGTTGCCATTAAAATATTGGATTTCAAATTTTAGTCTTATATATATGGATTAGGTGTGCTGAGGTGGCATGCTATGTGGCATCCACATCATCAAATATCAGTGCCATGTAGGATTAGATGTCTAACTTGGACAAACTTAACAAAAGAAGAGTATATTTAAACTAATAATATTATGACATAATAACGAACGATATATTTAAACTTTTCTCACGAGTATATTTGGCTCTTTGCCGAATATTATAATAGCACCGACTATCAAGTGCAACAAATCGCACCGTCCATCAGCTGCCCTTTGCTTTTCTTCTCACAGTTCCTCCGTGTTGTTGACTGACTGCTAATTGCTTGCATGGCTACGAATGAGACTGTACTGTAGCCGCCATACTTATTGCATGCAATCTCATACGGATAAATCAGAGAGAGCGATTTGACTGGTTTATTTTATGGTAGAAAAAATAAGACATGGAATATAAGATCTGTTTCACCACCTTTAATTTTTACTTAATTTGTGTAAACATCTCAACCAGACACACTTAGCCGCTATGAACAAAGATAACACACAGAAATTTCTGTCTTCCCCCCCCCCCCCCCCCCCCCCCCGTTTTAAGCGTGACAATGAAACTTCAACTAATTAAGCATTTATACCTAGGATAGCGATAAGATTATTACCACAACTTTTTTGATTAGATGTGCAATTTCTAAGTGACCTTATTATTATCCCTTTATCAGTTTTATGTTTGTTGGAAGAAGCAGTAGCGAAAACAGAATTTCGACTTTGTGCGTTTTGGAATTTACTAATAACTGATAACTAAATTTAATATTCGTACATATTTAATGAATTTCTTTATACAAATATATTATTTGAACAAAAGCTACTGAATTCGACCGAATTTCTAGGCTTCTAGCTACGCCCTTGGGAAGAAGGGGATCCACTATCCAGTACTAAGCTGAGCAAAGCAATATCAGAATTAACACGAAACTAACCAAAAAACAAGGAGATTGTGGAGGTTATGGAGTTATGGCAACATTAATTTAATGTGATCTGATAATGATCCGGTAACGTGAAATTGAATAAATATGTAAAATCAATGCACTATATGGAACATATAGAGCGCAAAGTTCTTTTTATAACCATTTGGTATCTAGAATTTATTGGCTCCACTAATCAAAATTTTATGTCGGATAAGTTATTCATTCTCACGACTCAAACCTAATACCTTTTGGTGATAGATACAGCCCAAAATTGAGTGCACATGTAACATTCTGTTAAACATAACACAAAGACTCTACCAGATATGAAAACTAATTGGGAAGCAAGTGATAGGCAGAAACTAAGACATCTAGAAATGTTTCATTGACCAAAATACATTTGTAGTAAAAAAAAATATCGTAGTACTTAACTACACTAGAGAAAACTAATTAAACAAAAAAAATGAAAATAAAAAAGGAAAAGTAAAAAATATAAAGAGAGTAAAAAAATACACTTTGATGATTGTGCAAGCATAAGGTCACGTGGACCTCGTCCAAATCACCGAACCTGATGATCTGTCACTCCAAACCTAAGGCTCGTGATATCCAGCTAGGCACGTACAACCGTTTGGCCATCCACACCTCTTCCCGATGAACAAGTAAAACACAACATTAACAATAACAAAAAATAAGTAAAAAAACATTAACTCTGTACCTCCTGTCTTGTACACACACAAGAAAGTGACCGTAGAAACAATAACTCTGTATCTGCTATTCTCATTTCACTTCTTCCACCTTCTTCTCTCCTAAGCCACCAAAAAAAAAACCAAATAATCTTATACCAATTGTGTTGAATAAGATTCATTGATTCAACCATAAACAAAAGCTTTTGCTTTGCTTTTCTGTGAAGCTACTTTTTTTTTCTTTTGCTGTTGGTCTCCATTAAAGCTTTCACCAGGTCCCATTTGACACGAGAACTCTTTGCTTCTCACGGAAAAGTAAACCAAACAAACCAAAAAGTTTCAGTCTTTACCTTATATAAGTTCCTTTGTATCATTCTTCTCTTCATCTATACGGTAATTATGGTACCATTCTTTGTATTTTTGACTCCCTTACTTTTTGTTCTTAAAAATAGTTTCTTTGTATATGGGATTTTAGACCCTATTGATTTCTTGGCATTACAAGCTATTCGAAAAAGCTTAGATGATTTACCCGGTTCGAATTATTTTGCTTCGTGGGATTTTACTTCTGAGCCTTGTAATTTTGCTGGAGTTTACTGTGATGGAGATAAAGTGATCGCATTGAATCTTGGTGACCCGAGAGCTGGATCACCGGGTCTAACCGGAACTTTGGATCCTTCTATTGGGAAACTTTCTTCCCTTGCTGAGTTTACTGTAGTTCCGGGTCGGATAACCGGTGCATTACCCGAAAGTTTGTCTCAGTTGAAGAACTTAAGGTTTCTTGGAGTTAGTCGGAACTTTCTCTCCGGCGATATTCCGGCGTCATTGGGTCAGCTCCGGGAGCTACAAACTCTTGATCTTAGTTTTAATCAGTTAACTGGAAATATTCCTTGGGCTATTGGTGCACTTCCAGCATTATCCAACGTTATACTTTGTCACAACCATTTGTCCGGTTCGATCCCACCTTTTGTTTCTCAAAGATTAACCCGTTTAGACCTTAAACATAACGAACTTTCTGGTACTCTTTTGCCTATGTCGCTTCCTTCTTCTCTTGAATACTTGTCATTATCATGGAATCAGTTTACCGGTCCAGTTGATTTTCTGTTAACTCGGCTGAACCAGTTGAACTATCTTGATCTCAGCTTGAACCGGTTCACCGGCTGCATTCCCGGGATTTTGTTTACTTTTCCACTCACAAATCTTCAGCTACAGAGGAATTTATTTACCGGTCCGATTTTACCCATGTCACAAGTCACTATTCCGACGGTGGATATCAGTTTTAACAGGTTTTTTGGGGAGATATCGCCATTGTTTTCTAATGTGCAGAATTTGTATTTGAATAATAACCGGTTCACTGGTCAGGTGCCAGCGGTTTTGGTGGACCGGTTATTATCGGCTGGAATGCAGGTTTTGTATGTACAGCATAATTTCCTGACGGGGATTGAGATAAATCCGACGGTGGAAATTCCGGTCAGCAGTTCATTATGTTTGCAGTATAATTGCATGATTCCACCGGTGCAGACCGCTTGTCCGTTGAAAGCCGGGAAGCAGAAGAGTAGGCCTACAGATCAGTGTGTGGAGTGGAAAGGGCAAAAGGGTGACAAAACAAACAATATTACTGGATAAAATATGGTTGTTAATGTGTTTCTTTGTATTTGATTCGTTGATTTATTAATTTTTTTGGGTGAAATTACTATGAGGTTAAAAAATAAAAAAGTAAATGTGCATAAAGGAGAGAAAATTAGAGTAAAAGGGAAGGGGGTAGAGTGACCATCCTGTTATTTTTATGTTATGTTTTTATGGTAAGCCAAAGTGTGACTATCAATTTTGGCATTTCATTTGGTGATTAGCTATAACAATTTGTTGCTTATTCAATTTCTTGGAATATAATTGGATTTACAGTTGTCAATTCCAAGGAAATTATCTATCTTCTTGTTTTATTGTGTTGTTACTGTCTATGTATTGCTTCATTTTTACTTCTTTTGAGCCGAGGGTCTTTCAAAAACTATCTCTCCACCGTCAAACTATCTCTCCACCGTCATAAGGTAGGTGTAAGGTCTGCGTACACTTTACCCATCCCACTTATGGAATTTCACTGGTGTGTTGTTGTTGTTATTGTTGTTGTTGTTGTTTTACAAGCTGATCAAAGAAGGCTGTTTGAAAGGGTTCTCCAATGGCGGATAGAAGGTAACGGCAGTGTGTACAAATGCAATCTTGCTCGATCTATATGCATGTTGAACAATTTTGGAAATCGTATCGTTACATCAAGTACAAAGTTGTTGTTGTTGTTGTCATAAAGGAGTAGTAAGTATCGCGATGCAGTAGAACTACTTGCTACAAATTCTGAATCCGTCTCTGAGTTCTATACGTTAGTAATTCCTTTCAACAATGATTGTTTTATGTGTTTTCTCTGTGCATGTTATTATGGTGTTATCTAACGTTCAAAATCCAAGTGTTGAGTGGGTGTATAAGTACGTGCATCTTTGTCCAGGCCTAGTGTTGATGTTGTCTCCTTTTCCTGTTTACAGCAACTGAGAATGGAGTGGTAGGGATGCTTTTTTCCAGCTTTTCGTTTGTTTTAGGGCCTGGAGGGGGGTACTCAACTGTCAGAGACAAAATATATACGTTACAGTCTACATATTGGATCATCAGACTTCTTTTATTATTTTGATCTTAAGATGCATTATTATCTGATGTGATTAATGGAACGTAGTTTTCCTGGTGAAAGACATTAACCCTCTCTTGTCTGTCTGTGTCCACAGTTTTACTTGTCAACATGTTTATTTTTTAAATTTTTAACAAAAACTTCAACTCTGTTATGTTTGTTCTTACTGATGTATGTCGTTTGGTTGTAGTTTTCAGATTTACTAGAGTATTTTATAATATTAGGTTTATGTCTGCTGGCATTGACTGACTTATAGCCCGTTTGGCCAAGCTGCAAAAATCAGCTTATTTTGAGAAGTGTTTTTTTTCAAAAGTACTTTGGTGAGAAGCAGTTTGTGTTTGGCTAATTAGTTTGAAAAGCACTTCTGAGCAGCAATTAGTGTTTGGCCAAGCTTTAAAAAACTGCTTCTAAGTGTATTTTTCTCAAAAGTGCTTCTCAAAAAAGTGCTTTTGTAGAGAAGCTACTTTTTTCTGCTTCTCCAAAACTGCTTCTGCTTCTCCTCAAAAGCACTTTTTTTCCTTCCAAAAGCTTGGCCAAACACCTCAATTTTTGGCCAAAAGTGCTTTTGTCCAAAAAAAAAAGCACTTTTGGCCAAAAAGAAGCTTGGGCAAACAGGCTATTAGGCTAGTCGTTTGCTAGGATAAAATTACCGTGGACTCTGCAGCCTTGGCAGGGCCAGCAACATAAGCGAATTCAATCAGTAGGTTTAGAACGAGGGTGATCTTATTATATATATAATTCAAACTAAAAGTTATGAGTTCAAGTGGATCCATCTCTAGCAGTAGCGACGCTTGCTAAGCAGGGACGGAGCTAGCATCTACTTACGGGTTCAGCAAAACCAAGTAGTTTTTTGTCAGACTCTGTGGTTATTTAAATTTTTTACTTAATATGTATAAATAGTTTATTCAGAATCTAGAATCACTTGTAAACTTAAAATACAAGCTCCGCTTCTGCTGCTAAGCAAAACCAATGAATGTGTCTTATAATGCTGTCAAGTGTGTTGTCTTTTTTGTCTCACAGTTTTGTGAACCCAGATTTTTGTGGACCCAGAAGTGTAAGATTGGGGTCCACAAATTTGTGGGATAAAAAGGAGCCCCACACAACTAATGTCAGTTGACAGTAAAACTTCTCCAAAATATGCTTTTTTCTCCTGTGGAATTCCGCACTGGGACGTGCTTGCTGGGTGATATGCATAAACTAGATGTAGACTTTTTTCGGAATAGATCCTAGAGGCTAGAAGTTCATTTGAATATGCTCCTCTATACACAGTCAATTGAAACCTAAAAAGCAGCACATTTGAATATGCTTTCAGTCAATCTGATTACGTAAACAAGGAATGATGCATTGTGGAGTTTTCCAATACGCGTGTTATTTTACAGAAGAACATTCACGTTGGCTTATCTTATTACTGCGTTTGAAAATCAACAGTATCTTGTTTCAGTTGAAGTTACAATGTTAACATTGTGTATATACATGCTGATTATTTATCACAATGTCACCAAAATAATTCACCTCTGTAGATTTTGATAAAACCAGAATGCATACTGGTTTTTGGAGATATTTCTTCTAATGAGCCGCTTCTTTTTATGGAGTACATGTGCTAAACACGTGGTAGGTTCCAAGTGGTCATGTTAATCACGGGTAGGTTTCAAGTAGTTGTGCTAAACACAGGGTAGGTTCCAAGTGCTGAGCAAAGGTAGGTTCTAAGTGACCAACTGAGCACGGGTAGGTTCCAAGTGGTCGCGCCGAGCACGGGAAGCTTCGAAGTAGCTGTGTTAGACACATGGCAGGTTCCAAGTAGTTGTGCTAGACGCATGGCAGGTTCCAAGTACTGAGCAAGGATAGGTTCAAAGTAGTGCTGAGCACGGATATGTTCCAAGAAACCGTGCTGAGCACGGGTAGATACAAAGTGGTTGACCATGTCTAGGTTCTAAGTGGTCGTGCTTAGCATGGATTGGTTTCAAACGACCGTACTAAGCACGGGTGGGTCCCAAGTGCTGTGCTAAGCAGGGGATAGGTTCTAAGTGCTGAGCAATGCTACATTGCAAGTGGTTGTGCTGAGGACGAGTAGGTTTTAAGTGACCGTGCAGAGCACCAATAGATTCTAAGTGGCCGTGCAAAGCGTCGATAGGTTCCAAGTAGTCATGGTGAGTACGGTTAGGTACCAAGTGACCGCGCTGAGCATAGGCAGGTTCTAAATGGTCGTGTCTAGCACGGGCAAATTTCAATTGGTTGTGATGAGCATGTGGTAGGTTCGAAGCACTACGAAAAGGTAGGTTCCAGGTGGTCGTGCTCAACACGGGTAACTTTTAAGTGGCTGTGCTAAGTACGTATATGTTTCAAGTAACCGTGCAGAATATCTGTTTAATTAATGCTTCTTACCTAGGAAAGAAGGCATAAGATTTCAGTACAGTATATTTTGGGAAGAAGTAGCAGCAAAGTAGAGCACACAAGACAGACCGACTACTATTAAGTGGCTTCTAATCGAACACAAGATTACAGAGAAATTTAATATATGAGTGCCGTTTACCAAAACTATATCAAGTAGTAATGAAGTGTAACTACTATTACTTGTAAACAGCCATTTACATGATCTTTGACTCTTTGTGAACTGCGGAAAATTGAAAATGTGCAGTATTTATGCTAATTGTTACATGCGATGTATCCTGACTGTTTAAGAGTGTGGTCATGAGTGGGCTTTCTAATGGTATATATTATGGGGGATTTGCATCTATACCCAGTTTTTGGGTCACAATTTAACTTATACCTGTTTAGCAAAAAAAATTGCAAGCGTTCCCACTTTTCGGGTAACTTCAGACATACGGGGCCTGAAGTAGCAAGAATTTATGTCTGAAGTTTGAACTTCAGATTTTTTTGCCTGAAGTGTGACCTTATCAAATCAAACTTCAGATACTGTCGTGTGAAGTTTAGCCTAACTTGCAAAAGCAATCAAAAAAACTTCAGTTTATAGTGCAAACTTCAGACAAATTAGTCTGAAGTTCTTCAGTTTGTAGTGCAAACTTCAGATAAATTAGTCTGAAGTTGTTTTACTTATCGAATAACCTGAGCTTTTTTCTTTACATGAGAAATAGCAAGAGTGGCAGAAAGTGAGTTAGAATGGCAAAATTGGATTGTCATTCTTGTCCTTATGTTTCTTCTTTCAGATCAGTCCACTTCTCAATGAAGGTCTGCTTCGTAGAATAGTGACTGAGGTAAGGCATGTCATTACAGAAAGTTCAAACAGAAAACGGAAACTCAAAGAGAGAGCAAAATCAGAAGACTTTGATGCTGAGGATGAATTGCTGAGGAGGGAAAAGTGGCTAGAAGATCATATTTTGTGGCAGGTATGTTCCATTCTAAGAATGAAGTTCAGATATAAATGACACACTGTTGTACTCTTTATGCAAGCCTCACTTTGATTCTACTTTTACTTATCGAATAACCTGAGCTTTTTTCTTTAATTTGTAACTTACAGGATAACACGATTGAGAGAGAAAAGAAGAAGAGGAAAAGAAGAGGAAAAGAATAGAGCGCATAGGTCGCAGGATCTTATCCTGAAGTTGTCAAAATTAGGGTATTGGTTAAATAATCTATCTATCTATATACTATATTAAAAGCACGAAGGCCCTATCGAAATGTCGTTCGCCTTTTTTACCCTTCGTAAGTACATTATATGTTGGATATAATAGTAATTGTAATAACTATTTTCTTCAAAATTTAAAGTCTATACTAAAAACGCTAGTTGTCGACTACTTGCGGTTTACCTCCTTCTGTATAGGTTTTGGATTCCAATTCCATTAGGCTTCTACTTACCGTATTAGGCATCTATTTCAATTTCTTTGTATAAGTTTTGGATGTCAATTCCATTAGGCTTCTACTTACCGTTTTAGGCTTCTTCCATTGGTTTCTTCTTTGTTTTGAAATCAAATTAGGTTCCTAGGTTTCTACAATTTTACAAAGGAATTAATTTCTCCTTTACTTACCGTAGGTTCCTTCTTCTTTGTTTTGAGATCAAATCAAATTAGGTTTCTAGAATTTTATAACTATAAAAGACGCTATTTTCTACATTCTTTGTCATAAACATACGTCCTCATACCAAATTTGCTTCTCACTTGTGGTAAATTTCTATCTGTAAATTTCTATCTTGTACTATATTCTTGAAGTTATGTATTAATGGTTGTTAGTGCATTATAAATTAGTTGAATGATTGCATCAAATCGATAGCCATTAGAAATAGCATTATGATTGTTCCTCGCATCTTTTCTTTATGCCAGCTTACTAATTGTTATGCCAGCTGAAGTTGCTCATATTTTCTCACAAAATTCAATTTGATTATCTCTTTTAATTGACTATTTTAATATTGTCATGCATATCACAATCTTTAAATTGTGTTCTTAAAGAATACCCCTTGACAATTGGCGTCGCTGAATCCACCCAAAGTTTTGACAATTTTCGTTGGTTCAGGTAAACAATTCTCCTTATCGATCTCATAAATAATATTTTATATAATCTTTTTTTTATGAAGTAATATATTATGTTCTGAAAGTTATGTAGCTTACTTGCAGTTCAACTATGATTTTTATGTTACTCTTCTAAAGCTTAGATTGGGATATTCTATAATATCAATTTACATAAACTATATGCTCATTTAACTGTTGTAGCGTTATTTGATATTTATGCTACTATTAGAAAAATAATTGGTTTTAATGTGCATAAAAATTAACGTAAAATAAAAATAGAATCATAAAAAGCTTATCAATCCTCAATTTAATAGTAGGTACATTGTGGTTGGATTAAAAAACGTTAGTGCATTAGCTATCCTTATTATTGGTCTAAGTAACTCTTTTAAATCTTCAGTTAAATAAAATATTTAAAATTATGAATGTCTTATATGATTTTAGTGCCCTTTTGATATTAGACCGCGTGTTCGCACTTGATTCAGGTACTCGCAATGGAAACTGAAATTGAATTTGCAAACGAATGTGTGCTACTTAACAGTTTGAGAAGATCCGACTCTCAGTGGATAATAAAAGTCTTACTTATTCAATGTGGAGTAGTTAAAGAATTTAAAAATAAAACAAATCAAGGCCTTCGATGGACTTTGATATTTGTAGATGAGGAGGTAATGTTATTTTTATTTTTGTATTATATTCGATATGTTTCGTATTATGTTCAATCATGATATTAAATTATGATAAAACTTTACAGGGAACAAAAATGCAAGCTATACTTTTCACTGATCAAGTGAATATGTGGAAGGAACATTTAGAACAAGGCAGTATCTATTACATCATTAACGGCCGCATAAATGATCGCAAACCTAATTTTCAATCTGTACACAAAGAATTTGAGATTGTGTTCAGTAATAATACTATAGTCAAGAAATGCAACAACCCGTTTTCAACCGTTAGCTTCTCAAACAGTTTCGTTCGTTCGAAGAGGCATTCCAATGCACCAATGGAACATACTGGTAATTCTTTAGATTTCTTTGATTAATCTTACATTATGAATAATATTATACTCCTATTTGCTTAATAATTCTTAGTACTTATTTACATGTATTTTCTATTAATATTCNTCTAGGATGGTGATTAAATTAAAACACTTTAGTGTTTGGAATGAGTTATTAACTACTGGTAAGTAACTAGCATTGCATGTGGTGTGCTTGCTCTGTGTTGGCCTGCATGTGGATTGAAGATTAAGATTGCCTCAGACATGTGGCATCATTTTTGAGGAATCTCACTCAGAGGAAATCAGGCTTGTTTCTGAAAGTTTTTCTTCTTAATTTTATATTTATATATTTTCTACATTTATAGGTCATGTTCCATGCTTACATGCACAAGAAAAGGACAAGCAAGCATGAAGTGCATTAAAATGTCAAAGTCACCTGAAGATTCTGGTAGTGAAGATACTCAAACAACATGGAATGTTTGTGGTTCAGGCAGTATTTTGTGCTCTAAGGTAGATGCAGATGAAAATTATGCATTGTTTGGTGGGTGAGTAATCGTGAATATAGGGTTTTGGAAGATAAAATTCATGATGGAAATAGCGTGTTAGTTAATGACTTCTTCTTTGATATATCAGGAAGGGTGTTGAGGTTAATGTCTGGGATCTAAACCAATGCGCTAAAGTTTGGACTGCGAAATCTGTGAGTTTCACCGTCTTTCTCTTTAGAATTTCTGGGTGTAACAAACAATTGACTGGCTTTTTGATATACTTCATGAACTTGACGTGTTGTTTTCTTGTTCCAGCCACCAAAAAATAGCCTTGACATATTCACCCCAACTTGGTTTACATCTGCAACTTTCTTGTGCAAAGATGACCACCGCAAATTTGTTTCAGGCACTAATAGTCACCAGGTATTTTTTTTTCCTTGTCAAAATTTTCTCGTTAGCTCCATTAAGTGTGTGCTTTTCATTTGTATCATGAAGGAAATTTTGATGCAACAGCTTCATAAGCCGTCTTGCCAGGAAGGACTTCATGTGGTTTATCTTATAGCCGTCTTTTGAATAACGCATCTAGGCATTTGTGAGGCTGCCAAAAGACAACCTTCTATTGTACTAAGCTCCATAGGTGGATATAGACTAATTGCTCTGAATATCTTTCATAATAAAAGAGCTCAGCTAGTCATGCATTTCAGCCACACATCCTCACTTCACAAATTCTGCTTCAGTATCCCGTAGGAGTTCTCTGGTTGCAGAGATATACCGGGAGTGGATTTCTTCAGATTCTACAATGCAGTACCATCTTTTTATGCTAGTATGCTCTTCTATTCCTTTCACTGTGGAGAAACAGCAGATAGTCTGTTGTTGGTGCTTCTCGAAGTTTTAATTGAGAGAAGCCTCTTGTTTTATTGTAATTGGTTTTTGGTTTAAATAGCATAGATTGCTTTCAGCCTATTAAATACACTAAAGTAGATCCAGATCAGATCCACATATACACCCATTCTGCTTACTGTTAAACCTGCAGCGTGTAATTGGACATAGATGCTCTTAAAGTTGTATTCTAAGCTGGTTCATTTTCATGTCTGTAAATTTGTTGCTGATTTACCTATTAAATTTTTTTGGTGCTGATATATACTGTACGGACTGGGTAACTTGTAGGTGCGTCTTTATGATATTGCTGCTCAGAGAAGGCCTGTTATTGCATTTGATTTTTGCGAGACCCCTATTAAAGCTGTGGCTGAGGATATAGATGGACATACAATATACATAGGAAACGGGTCAGGGGATCTTGCTTCTATTGATATACGCACAGGTAAACGGTTGTCGCAGCATAGTGATCATTGTTTATGTTGTCATTAGACATAATCTTCATATACATCTTTGCCATATAAGTGGATAATATTTTATTATTGTGGAAGAAGAGTACATTGGAAAGGGCAAGATATCCTTAAACCAGTATTCAGTTTTTCCAAAATTATTGAGGATATTGCTAGACCTATTTTATGGTTGTGCATGTTCTTCTCCACATTTTTGTTATCCAAGTCTAAGTGTGTTCTGTTATTTCGTTCTGGCACGGAACTTATATCGTCTGTAGAAAGTAAGACAACGGATTTACGTGGCAAACATAATACATTTGTTCAAACTTGTGTTTCTTCTACACTGATAAGGTTTTATGTTTAAGTTGGCCACTGCACTTCGCATTTATTTTGTCTAATGCGTAATAACGTTGTGATATGGTTTATGACTTCAGTTTCAGAAACACACTTGCACACAGACAATGGCGTTCTTTAATGGTATTCTGTGTCGACCTGTTGATTTCTGCTTTTGTTTTAATAGCTTGAACTTCCTTTTCTCGTTGACATGATTCTTGTTGTTTATGATAATTAACTCGTCAGTCTAGGAATACAATTTGCTCTCTCAATCGCGATTCTGATGTCTAGACTCATTTAATTCACATATTGTGGGTCTCACAATTGAGTGCATCCTTTTTGTTTCAGGGAAACTTTTGGGATCCTTCTTGGGGAAATGTTCTGGAAGTATAAGATCTATAGTTAGGCATCCAGAGCTGCCGATGATAGCCTCATGTGGTGAGTATTTGAAATCGCAGATAACTTCTTTATAACCCAGTTATAGCATTTGTCCATGGTCCTTGTATACACAACATTTTTTATCTGGATATATGATTACTTTGTTGATGGAAGCTACTGCTTGGGAACACAGATATTGTCCTAAAGTCATGTTGGCTCTGCATTTGCTGAATGCAAGATATAATCTCATAATAGAAAGTCTGAAGCTTGTGAAACCTTGTCTGTTACATTGTTTAAGAACTGGAAGTGTAGAACACATGCCTCTTTATAGAAGTGCTATTGTTTCTTCAACTCTTTTTCCTCATAAGTTATTCACGTGAACAAAGTTACTTTTGACTAGGATTGGACAGCTACTTACGCATTTGGGATGTCAAGTCACGGCAACTTCTCTCTGCGGTATGTTATTTGTCTATGTTACAGCTTTTATAAGAAATGAGTGGACAATTCAATAGACAGCTATATTTTGGCTGCGCTACTGCTTACCCCCACCCACACACACACACAAACAATGGGTGGTCGTTGACTGCTCTCCTTTTGCTCTTCATATTAGTGCATTGCAACATTTTTAGAACTGAAACTCAAATTTGAATTGATGTCTCTTTGGGCTGTTTTAGCTCTTAGGACTGTCGAGTTAAAAAGTCAAGGCTCTAGAAGTACAGAATACAAGTTCCAATCCTATCACATTAGATTAGATTGGAACTGAGTTTTTGTAAGATTTCTTGATACGGAAACTGTCACTTTTGTAAGGATCCTGTGTTACTCACTGCAGAATCGTTGTGTTTATTTTGTTTCAATAAAGTGTTCACTTATCTATCAGCAGAAAGTGTCTTCTTGAAACACTAATTTTTTATGTCCTTTATTTATTGGACAATCTACTTCCCATTATTCGTCAGGGCTCTTTTGATAAGCTTTTTGTTTAGAATTCCTCAAAAACTTTGTATGTTTCGGCAAATTGAATTGTTGTCTTTGAATACTCAGTTTCACCTGATATATTATCGTCCTTCAACTTCGAAGTTGTTAAAGTTAAAGCTTTCCTGAGTTAGCATTCCAATTCGACCAAGTCATACTGGATTAGCAAACAATGGTTCTAGTGTCTCATATTTTGACTATATAGATAATTGGTGATGTTTCTAAAAGAAGAGGTTATTACTTAAGAAAGAAACCCTTTCTGGCTTTCATCTTTTCGTTTCCTGCCTTTTTGGTTGACATAATGGTTTCTCTTACATCATATGGTCTAGATGTGGTCCTGTCCTGCCGCCTAATGATAAATTTTTGCGGTCAGATGCTATCTTGCTTTAACAGAGCTACTTCTTCCCTGTTACATGTTACAAAGTAGTTAGCTGGTTTGATCAAAGAGATTCAAGTTTAACATGATCATTAGCACCATGTAGCATGTATTGTAGGTCAGATCAAGAGTGTGGCATGCCATAAATATTCGTAAGCATGCGTATATGCAGAAATACTACTATTGCGAGAATCTGCGTACTCCTAATTGTAAAAGCAAAATCTTTGGCCGTAACAACAGTTAATGAAATGATAGTTTATTGTCCATACATAACATTGGGATTAATTTGGGTATAAAAGAATCTCCACCTATGTCAGAGCACAGCGTGTCCGAAGCCCAGATAAAAAGTAGGGTTGCAATAGATCGACAGTGTAGAAATAGGTAAACTATGAACAGAGAATTCATATAGCCAAATCTTAACTAATTTGGGATTTAGGCATAGCTGATGAATTATGAACATGTATCTTTTATTTATCTTAAATCAGTACGAGACAGAGATTCTCAAGTACTTAAGCTGGAATTTGGATGCAGGTTTTCTTGAAGCAGCATCTTAGCAGTGTTGTTTTTGATTCAAAATTTTCTGCGAGAGGTAAGCTTTCTTTCTACTTCTCCTAGCTCTTCTTGATAATGCCTTGGTCTGTATGACTGTATGTGTCCAGATTACTAAATATTCTCTTTCTTAAGACATCAACGAATTTTCTTCAACCTGGATTTCCGTCTGCCTTGTTCTTATGTTTCCGTTCTGACTTGTATAATTTTCTCTATACCGTCCAGTACACTTAATCCTTTTAGAATTTAGTATAGAAATTTGTCAGGAGAAATGGAGACAGAGAATGAAGTATTCTACCAATTACCAAGACTATTTTCTGCCTAGCTTTTTCGTCTGATCCACATACCTTCCCCTCCGCTCCTTGTTTGCCTTTTCTTTTCTTTAAGATCTAACTATCCTAACAAGTAGATGTGTCATTATGCTTGTTCAGATGCTCAGGTACCTCAGCAACAAGATCCAGATGAAACATTACAGATGGAAGAGGAGGAAGAGAAGCCGGTTAAAAGGAAGAAGGCATCAAAAGAACACAGCGGAAGCAAGAAACCAAAGACCAAGAAAAAGAGTAAAAGGTCAAAAGGAGACAGTAGCGATGCTGCTGCATAATCATTTTGCTTCCTGGACTCCCCGAAGTCTTGATGACATGTTACGCCACCAGTTAAGCTAAAGGACCGTAGCATACACCAGAACACGGTGAGAATCCGTGACTTGGTTGCATTTGTATGTGCAAGTAGAAAAAACACGAAAACTTGAGTGGGTATTTGCTGAATGTAAGCGCTAGCTTGTGGTTCAGGAGGGTTTTTTTGTGTTTTATTTTTTTCCGAAAAAAGAGAGGCAGGCTGAAGTTAGTGCCTGATCATCTTGTTTAGTCTTCGTAATGCTAGATTATACAGATGACGAAATATTATGTATTCCCAATCCGAAAGGCATTTTTGGAAGAGTTTTTCTATTTTATAAAGACAATTGAGTTGGTTATAGGTGGCTCTGTCATATGCTTTGTTCAAGTTAACACCAATCTTTTGAGATTAAACAAATATTTGAAAGGGGTAAAAATGATAAAAGAGAAAAGGCGCCTGTACTTTTACGACCACAATAGAATTACTTCTTCCTTCTTTCAAGATTCTTTGAAAATTGGCAAGGCATTCTTCTTTTTCATTTCAGGCGTATTGATTTTTCATCTACATCGGAAATGATATTATTTTATTTTCGTTCCTGCTTGAGGTAAAAAAAATTGTGCTAGAACTAAAAAAACTAGAGAATTATTTTGTTGATGTTACATAGGGACCTGAAGGTATGAAATTCACAAGAAACTTTAATAACTTTAAAGTATTAGAAAATATATCAGGTTCATGCTCTTTTTTTTTTTCCTCCCTAAAACTATCAATTTCTCATATCCATTTAGTAATTATTTTGGAAAGTATTAAACAAACGTTGGCATTTTCTCTTACGAAGAATATTCTAAGAGATCCATTCCAAATAAAAAAAATCAATTAGGGCCTTAAAGAAAAGGAGACAAAAAACAAAGTTGGACACGGATTCTTAAGATTGAATTTTCGCCAAATTCTAACGTGAAGAGAAAAAAATAGCCTGCTTTTTCCTAGTCACTTTCCGTCGATGCAACCAAAAATTCCTAATGCCACTAAGTACACAAACAAAAAATAATCCATTCCTCAACTTGAAAACAACTAAATTATTTTCATGAGAATTTTATAATTACATAAATACTAGTAGTATAACATATTTAAGATTACGAATTATCCAATAGATCAAAATAATTTGTATTAAAAGAATTCTAAGCTATGTTCAAAGTTTGGATACATCCTTCACAAAAAAGTAGCTGGTATTCCCCACGCATTAGTGAAAGTAGGGGCAAAGTCACGCTACTGTTTTAAAGAAAAGAAATATAGCATGCCTCTCGAGACTGAATTTTTCACCGAACCTTCACATAAAGAAAAAAAAAAAAACAAAAAAAACAAAATTAAATCGGAAAATATTAATGGCCGTTCAAAATTGAACGAAAGTAACCAGTAGGTATCTTCCACGTTTTAAAACTATCAGACAATAAAATAAAAGGCCCAAAACTAAAAAGAAAAATTCACCATAGCCCATGCTATAAAGCCGCTTTCTTCTCCTCCTTTTCTTCCTTTGTTATTTCCTTGTACGCCACCAAAAACCTACTCTATAAGCTTTTTCCTTCTTCTTGCTTTCTACTTTCAGAGAAAATCAGAAAAATACCCAAATTCAAAAAATGGCATCATTTGCAGAGGCACCACCAGGGAACGAAGCAGCAGGGGCTAAGATCTTCAAGACCAAGTGTGCTCAATGTCATACTGTTGAACAAGGTGCTGGACATAAGCAAGGTACGCCTTTTTTTTTTTTTTCTTTTTCCCTTTTTATGTTTTTTGTAAAAATCTCTTGTTGTTTTTTTGGTCAGATCTGGTGAATTTGGTTCTCTTTATGTGACTTTTGTTTATCAATTTATTGATCTGATGAATTCTTGTTTTTCCTTTATTTATTTGGTGAAAAAGGTCTAACTTTTGATGGGTTATTTTAGCAGATCTGCAATTACATCGGTTTTTCTGTATATATTTAGTTTTCTTTTTATTTCATTTATCTATATATAGTCTTAGTCACTTTTTTTGGGCATTATATAGAGTATTGTTTTTTTAATTCTTTATTTACCCAGTTTTTTTCTAGCTTCATAAGATTTTACTTGTCCGCAAAATAACAGATAGAATAGCAAAAAGATATTGTCTAACGTGTAGTCTGAGTTTAATGTTTTTTGTGATTTCTGATTATTGATTAGTTAGATCCCCAATTATAATTTAATTGTGATTTTACTTGGCAATAATTTATGAGCGGAAGGAACATTTATGAGTTCAATTGTGACTCATATAATTCTGTGGCAAAAAGATTGGCTACAAATTGTTGCTTGTTCTTTCTATCTGCTGTTATTAGTTTTTATAATCTTGAAAGGAGTAGTATCTTAGTTTTGCAGGTGCTTTTCCGTATTTTCAGCAGCAGTTATGATAATATTGAATTTTGATCAGCGAAAACATTATTACAACAATTGTGTCACTTCGATTATTCTGTTAGGGTTGGGTGATTGAACTTGAGTTTAGAATAGCTTGAAGAAACTGCTAGTTGAATAAGAAAATATGTTGCAAATATGCTTAACTAAAAACTAGGTTGCTCGATATCTTTGATAAATATATCTCTCTTAACTGACAAACTCACTAATGGTTTTGGTGAAAGAAAATTGGGTTGCTGCAGTTCTTTGGTTTCATTATGGAATTAGAATAATGATTGCAGTGAGAGTTTTTTTAAACATAATTTACGAATACATCTGTTGCTGACAAAAGGATAATTATGTTCTCGGTTTTACTTTTGTGTTGCTCATTCTATATATAAGATGGTACTTTCCCCTTTGGTTTTGCCATCGATATTTCCCCAAAATTCTTTTCATATTTTGATGCTTCCCTAAAGGTCCATGTTTACAATTATCTTTTTTTGGCTTATAACCATGCTGGATTATGTTAATTGTGTTAGACTTTGGTATCTTCTCTGGGTGAAGAGTCGTGCATGAAGATGTATACAGTTCTTTTGCTTTATGAGTTCTGCTATAACTTACAATGATATCCTACTTTTAACAGGACCTAATTTGAATGGACTTTTTGGAAGGCAGTCTGGAACTACTGCTGGTTACTCCTACTCTGCTGCCAATAAGAATATGGCTGTGATGTGGGAAGAAAAGACCTTATATGATTATTTGCTCAATCCCAAGAAGGTATGGTAACGTTTTCATTATGTAAGATTTTTGTGTTTACATTACCACGGAGACACGGTTGTCTGATGGGACAACCTAATTGCATAACTTTTCTTGTGGAAATTGCATTTCTAATCATGAATGTATATACATATTTTAGTTCCTTTTGTTTTCTGCTTTCTTGTGTTTCCTTCCATTAGAATGCGCCTTTTCCTTATTTGCAATTCTGTTGATTGTTTCTACAGTACATACCTGGAACAAAGATGGTTTTCCCTGGTTTGAAGAAGCCACAGGAGCGTGCAGACCTCATTGCCTACCTGAAATCTGCTACTGCCTAAGGAATTACCGACAAATATTTTCTATTTTGTAGTCTGATAGGCATGTTTTGCTGTGCGGAGGAAGATAAACCATTGATTTTTTTAAAGTAATAAGTTGACCTCTTTTGGTCTGACTCATTTGTTTCCAGAGCACTGGTTCATACGAAATTTTTTGTTACCTTCTGAAGAAGAGGTGAAAAACACTTGGCAAACAATGCCAATTTTAATATCATTCTCTTATGATTATGTCTTTGGTGGTCTGTTGCTTTTCTTGGTCTTTTCTCTTTTCTCTTATTCGATGCAAATTTAAAGGTCCTTGTGTCGAGGGTCTTTCGGAAACCCTCTCTGCATCGTACACACTATCCTCCCCAGATCCCCACCCGTGGGATATTACTGGGTTGTTGTTGTTGATGATGCAAGTTTAAAGGTATAAATGATCCACCAGGGAGGAATATGCTTTTGCATAATAAGCTACAGGTATATGCATTGGTGAATTATGTCTTTACAAACAAGAAATGGAACATATGAAAGAACGTTGCTCTAGTTTATTTGAGTTTTTAGGGTTTCAAGATTTTAACCGAAATTGTCCTTGTAGGTCTAGTTTTATCCTTGATATTTCAGCTTGAACACTTATTGTCCTTCATCTTTGCCAAAATGGAGCACATAACTATGAATTTTATGGCTGCAAAAGCAAAACCGCTTAGAAAACCCAGATGAAGTTATTCTCTAAATACAATGTGCAATGAAGGATGAGCATGACTAATGACATAATCAGTCCCAACAATGGGCAATATTAAACTATACCATCAGTTCTTATCTTAAAAGAATTATTGAATTTTTGCTTTAAAATACTTTTCTCCTTTTTGAGTTTTTCTTTCATGACTACAAGATAAAAAGCATGTTGCTTCGCATGTAATTAGGGATTTAGGGTGAAGAGAGAAAAATGGTGATCTGGGAAGACAGACCTCTATTCGGCTCATGTTTTTACTGTCATTTGCAATGCACATTTTGAATAAAGATAAATTTGACAATAAGTGCTCAACGTGAAGTATCAAGGACAGAATTAGATCTAGTCCTATACTTAAGGGGTAATTTTGATTAAAAACTCGTTTCGACAAGCTGTTATTGGACATTAAACATTCCCTACTAGGAGAATGTACCTGCATACCTCTTGACTTTGATAGTTGTATGCTCAATGGGTTTGATAATTGTGACTGTCAGGCAAAGGCAAGGATCAGCGTGTTACTAAAAGAATCGGGCAAATAAACCACTACGCCAAATTCTATTGTCACACTAATGCATGTCAGACGTTATTATTCGACTCGCTGTGAACCAAGTACCAACCAAGCAACCTCTTTTCTATGTCAAGTAATCATGAAAACAAGAGCGTATGGTTAGTATCATTCATATGGATAACCACTAAAAACAACTTTAGTGCCATTGATAATTAAAGAAGTTGATTCATGGAAATAAACTTGTGTTTTCAATCCTTGAGTTCCTCAGCTTTAGAGTCGAGACAAGCAACTGTACAAGTTTAATCTTGAAGAAACAAAAGGTGACACTTTTTTAAATGGTCTTGTTTGCCAAATCGAAAATTTATTATAGCTGACAACTCTATGTACAATCTCTATTAAACTTTAGCCTACACGCTCCCAAAGGATCCTCAGGCGCAAGCAACTAGAAGTTACAAATAGGAACTATTAAATTCTTATTCCGCAGCAGTCCAGTATTCAAGGTTTTGACTGAGGGGGGCGACGAAGTCCAGGTATCTGCAAGCAAAGTCACCGTCAAAATGCATTGTTCATGAAAATCGTAAGGAAATGATACGCTTCCATGTAACATTGCCAACAACAACAACAACTATGTCTCAATCCCAAACATGTAACACAGTTAAAATATGCCTTATTCCAAAAGCAAACCAAGATATTGAAGAATAAAAGCATTTGGAATTCCACGAGGAACAACCTAGTGATAAAGACCATCCACCTCTAACAATAAAGCCGGAGGTTTGAGTTCACTACGGTCTAAGGGTATATGGGGTGGAGTCTACCATACCAAAAAAGTAAAATAAGGAGAGAAAAAAAACTTTTTGGATTTTAAAATATCATGTTAGACAATTCAAAGTAGTTCGAAACTAACCTCAATTCCATGTGGGCCTATTCGATTATGGGAAATGAAATTGAGTAGCAAAGTAGCAAATTCATCAGGAACATCTTCCTGCAGTGTTCAAAAGACAAGCAATTATTCAGGAGATGCAATTTCAGCTAAAACAACTGGCATCTTAAGAAAACCAAAATGGACCTGTATAGCGTGGCCTGTGTGTCTGACAACCACCATTTGGAACTTCCCTTGCATTTGACCTATTGTGAGGGCTCTGTAACAATAAATGGACAAATTAGTCTCATGCCTATTTAGAACACAAACGAGAAAGATGTAGTTCATGCTTCTAGCTTTAAGCGTTCCCAATAGCAGCTACTACTTAAGCTTTTTTAATCTTTTACCAGAACAAAATGAAATCTATTTTAACTGCAGATTATATTTTGTGGTATCTCATTGATGACAATGGGTTGCAAAATACATTATATCTGGAAAAAATATATCGATAAAGTATAGCATCATGGAAAACATAAATTGGATTGTATACGGCTAAAATCGGAGAGTCCGATTTCACTATCATTATGTCCTTCCGTAGCTTCTCCTCGAAAGGCCTCGAAGACAGGTCCGAACCGACTGATGTTGAAGAATCAGCGGATGAGTTGTGGTTAGGGGTGAAATGCCACTCGAACCCAGAGCTAGCTGGTTCTCCCCGAAATGCGTTGAGGCGCAGCAGTTGACTGGACATCTAGGGGTAAAGCACTGTTTCGGTGCGGGCCGCGAGAGCGGTACCAAATCGAGGCAAACTCTGAATACTAGATATGACCTGTCTACTGGAAATTTAGTTGATAGTATAGCTTCAAAAAATCCGCGGCCTCATCTTTAACCACCCTACTAGGGAGGCTGCGCTTTCTGAGAATACCTTAAATAGGTATTTGAGCCAGATCGAAAGAGATGGCACTCGTCAGAGCCAGCCCTATCTTAGGCTGGTTCGGGCGATCCGCAATGCGGAGATTCTCTATGGGACGAGAAATAGGAGACCCCCTTTTTGGCCTTTCTGAAGTGTGGCCGTGTGGGGACAGTTCGGGGTTTCAACCTCGAAGGTTCTTTATGTCCAACCTCGGGACAGCACAAATCGATGGTTATCATGGATAAACAGGAAGTTCCCTAGGCGCGTGGTCCAAACTGACAACATCTATAAGAATAGTACCAGTCTGTACCAGACTACTAGGTAGTTGTGCCAGCTGCATTTCTTTGTAATAAATGCATATGTACTATGTTAATATTCCCCCTCATCTATAAAGGGGACCCTTGTCATTTTGTAAAGAGACCTGATACGCAATATTGAATATACAAGAACATCCTCTCTGCTTTCTAACTCAACATATTCCCTTGATTTCATTATTTACATTTATCGCTTATATGCATTGTGTTCTATTTATTGTTCATCATTTATTGCTCATTATTGATCATAAAAGGCTTCCATCAAGGCTGTCATAACTGTTAATCCTCCATCGACTACCCTCGGCAGTGCATCCGACTCGACCTCGAGGCCCCGAACACACAAGCTTGAGGCCCCCGATTACCCGCCATTCGGTTCGATTATTACATTATCTACGATCTATCATCTTAATTTCTAATCCTTCACCTAGCATCTATTGCCTAACAACTAGCATAAAAATAAATCTCATATTTTTAGAACCACAAAATCAAATCTAATTGTTATTACCATTTTCGAGGTAAACAAGGATATAACTTAATTCTAACAAATTCAATGGTATATCCAAGCTTTAAGCTAGAATGGAGACTTCTTTTTCTTCTTTTTTTTTTTTTTTGGTGAAAGAAAGTTAACTGGGAGAAATTGGCTGGCATTTAGAGATACTTTTGCCAGAAGGAATGGCCATGCAATTCCTCATTATAAGTGAATCTGCAAGTACCATATTGATTAGGAAAACCATGCACATCAATTGTTCCAACATGACTCACTGAGAAGTAAGATCAGAAAAGGAATATACAGAAGAACCATCTCTTACATAATCACAGATCAGAAAGGATTATACAGAACCATGTCTCATACATAATCACATAGTGTTGAAGCTTCGCATGCATGCTAACAAGCATATGCAATTATAGAATTCCACATGACCTTCGATACAGAGAGAAGTACACAACCTGTCAAGTCTGTCTGTCCCAGCTAACAGCAATATCTTTGGAACAGGAGATGACAAAAACTTTTCTGAAAGGCCTTCGTACCTGAAACAAGAGAATTATAATTTCAGGTTCAAATTGACATGCTGGAAAATGGAAAACAAGATGCTCAGCACTAGACCTCTGGAAGCATGACACAGACTGCAAAATTAAGAGAACTTCTCGAGTCTACATATAGTCAATGCCATTCTAAAAGGACCGTAGCAGTTAGAGAAACCCTGAGGGAATAAAAAGAGCAAATTTATTTGAAAAGGAGCTTTAACTTGTGCAGCAGGTGCTATATTGTGGAGACTAGCTAAGAGATTATCAGTCATTTGTTTGCATTGCAATCATGTGATTAATTCGAGCGAACACACACTCAGAGTAACACACTCAGAATTAGTCCTTTTCATTCTGAGTGCTTTTAGTGTTCATAATAAATCGCAAAAGTATCTTGTTCTACTACCTTTTGGTTTGTTTTTCTTTAAAGGAAAGAGTTACAAGAATACGCACTTCTACCAATGTAGAACACTAAGCATTTTGCAGACAATTCAGTGATTGAAGTAAGGATAAGTTACTGTTGAGATTGAAGGCCACTTCAATAATAACTCAAAGTAAGGATAAGTTACTGTTGAGATTGACTTTGTTTGGGCAACATGGATGCCTTCCAATGTGAAGGCAGCTTTAACCAATTGGCTCGGAAAGAAATCATTGGTGTTCTGAAGAAAGATCAGAAGCAATATCTAGTGTAAATTTAGAAGTCTTCAACTAATGAATATATGGTGTAGTAAGAAAATTATACATGATTTAATCAATGTATCGAACTTCAGAGGCCCCTTACATATTTAAAGGAGCAAGTCCATTAAAATCTGTAACTTCCCAGTGCTTTCTTGGTGCTGTTTAAAATATAATTCATGCCTTACTTATCATAAAAAGACTAAATATTCATTCTGTCTGACGTAATAATTTTCAGCGTGACCGCTATCTAACTGAATGAATGACGACCATAACCTTCAAGATCACAAGCAAAGGAGAAGAAAAATAAAAAAGGCTTTTTCTTTTTTAAATTGTTAGAGAACCAAAAAACATTTTTTTATGAAGAGAATTTCATTAAAAGGCATCAAGAAGATGCATAGCAAAACAATACAACATAAGAGTGTCTTCTCATGTACAAAAACTTATTGAATAACTAAGGAGCAGACACAAACTGAGGCATAAACGGCGCAGACCAGAAAACAGTTTTCCCCCCATAAACTGAGGCTAATTGCTAGAAAATTGATGCAACACAGTCCCAAATGGTCTCCTAGGACCCTAAATACAAGATTTAGTGTTTCTAAAACAGCATAATATGTCAGGATATGCAAAAGATCTAGATTGAACAAGCAGAAAAGAATAGCTCGTACCATTCTCTCCAATACTGCTCAGTTTCTTCCAGTCTTGCTCTGTGTGTGTAACTGCAGTATAAGTGTTTGGTTACGCACCATTTTTTTGATTCATCATATTTCAATTAGCAGAAAACATACAGAAAACCTATCTAATCACCTAAGTCCGAAAACAGAACTGAAAGAAAGAACTCCAGCCCCCTTCCCCAGTACCATCCCAAAAATAAAAAAGAAAGAGAGGAAGATATGCCAAACATATGACATGGTTACGCACCATTTTTTTGATTCATCATATTTCAATGTGTTGGGGATTGATACACGAGCAGAGTCAATATTTCTCAAAGAGCCTGATTTGACACTCCATTCAATCTGTAGATGCATAAAACTTCCAAATAAAAACTTGAGAGCCTCAACAGATCTAAGAGTAAGGACTCAGAGGAGCTCATATAAAACTCATATCCTAAGTCCTAACCAAGCAGAAACTCAATATAGGAAAAACAAGCATAAACCATGATGTTTTCTGGATAAGTCAAATAAACCATGCTATGTTAGAGGGTACGAAATAGCTTTATGAGTTAAACTTCACAACGCAATGGTATCGAAGTTAACTTAAGATGACAAGAAAATGTCATATCGTAAATTTATGTAAGACTGTTCACCTGATTAAATGAAATTGGGATTGGTGGTCAGACTGTCTTTTTCAACAAAAAATAACAAAATTAAGCGACTAGATTGATTATCTACTCAATGACGCGCACTTATTATGATGCGATTAATCAAGCATCTGTTATATACAACCTTATGTTAAGAAAACAGCAGGAACATAATATACGTAATTGAAATAGAGACTACTGCATTGTACTCCCTCCTGCTGATACTGAATTTCATATTTTCATGGCAAAATAAGTTTCATTTTTTGGTTGGGCGGGGGAGGGGAGAGGAGGGGGGCGGGGGTAAATTAAATATAAAGCGTTCCTGAGAAACAAGGCCACCTGAGTAAAAAACAACATAATCAAAAATTTGCTCAATATGATAAGGTGAGCACGGCTGCTGTCACAAAAAGGGAAGAAGTTCTGAGCATTGGTTACCGCTTTTTCAGGGGTAGAGAAATGCTGCATTCTGTTCGACAGAATCTTCTGCATATGAATCAACGATGCCATTGCTGAACCCTGATAACTCCGGAAATCAGTACATAAAAAGGGCAGCCCGTGCACAAAGCATCCCGCATTCACGCAGGATCCAGGGAAGGTCTGCACCCCAAGAGGCGTGATATAGACAACCTACCCTAATGCAAGCATTAGTGGCTGCTTCCACGGCTCGAAACCGTAACCTATAAGTCACACGGAGACAACTTTACCGTTGCTCCAAGGCCCCCCTTCCCGGAAATCAGTACTTAATGAAAAAAAAAAATCATATCTCTAACAAGTTAGAAAGATTGACAACCTCAACAACGTCCACAACCACCAAGCCAGCCAAACTTGGAGGTGATTTTTTTGCAGCAACGTGAACTACAACTGCACCTCCCATACTGTGACATAATCAGAAAACTCTTAGTCCAACTATTTATTGTTAAAGACTGGAATGATATGTGCACACACATTCACTCACAAACAGAAAGTGAGACAGAAAGAGAGAACAATTCACAACTTATTTGTGGTACAGAAAACTTCTAACCTAAGCATGCAGTTAATTAAAATAAAAAGCAGAAATAGTTCATTCATAGCAGGACTAAAACTCCATTTGAGTGAAAGGTTTACATCCTATTCTTATACTATCAAACCATTTTCATTCTTGGTAACAAATATATGGGAACAAATGACAAGAATCCAGACCAACCAAGAAAAGGAGAAAGGAAATAAAGATACATTTCAGGACTCTTCAGACTGGAAGAAAATGGGAAAAGGCGAAGAAATGCGGCACATCAATGAGTTAAAAGTTCTAAGCAACTATAGATCTGATGGATGCAACAGAGATCGATTTGGTTTACAGACCACTGCAACACTAATACAACTAACTCCATTATTAAATTACTGAGCTATCGCTCTTTCTCACAAAATAAAAATACTGAGCTAGCGTAAACAATGTCAAGGAAAATTACGTCCAAGTGAAAAGCTCTGTGCCTTGTAGCTTGCAGCTACTTAGCAACGATATAACACAATATCTTTTATTTAGCTAAACACAACAGAGATGAGAGCGAAAGCATCCTCCAAAAATATTTTGCATGAGCAGAAATGGCTTCTTTAGATTTGTATACCAAGGCCAGAATGTAATATACTATCTCCGAAGAACTGATCCTTTATTTGTCCTAAAACTGTATGATCTTGGAAATGATGTTTTCAGTTAGTATATCAACCTAAAACTTATTTGGGATTGATCTCCTATGGGTTGTTCCACTCAGTAGTGCATAAACCTTTAGTGCTATAAGTTGACATTTCACTACTAAACAAAGTTATTCCAAACGTAGTAACTAGTCAAACAAAGACGTGAAAATTTGAATGCGAACTAACTTCATGAAGAAAGTACAACCTGTGGCCAACAAGAACAATTGCAGGCGGAGCATCTCCATACATTGTCTTCAAAACAGAAAACACATCACCGCATAGCGTCTGCAACCAACAACACCACCATAACATGGAAATGGGGAAAAAAGAGTTTCTCAAAAGCATCAAATACTGAAGCTCATAGTAGTAAGATACATCTTTCGAAAGTACCTCAATGGACAAATCAACGTCATTTTGTGTAGCTGACTTTCCATGTCCCCTGAGATCCATGGCTACTATCCTAGCTTTCTCCTTAAGTTTGCTTGCTGCCAATGCAAATGAGAGCCTGAGAAAATAAAACCGCACAGATTTAACATAATGTTTCTCGTTAATTGCCATTTCAAAACTGATGCTTAGCTACAAGATACAGATAGACGAGAGAGCAAGCAAAACCATTCACCAACAGGCTCTGTACCTTCCAACAGAATACAAACTTTCCAAGCATCTAGGAATTAACTAAGGAATTCACCAGAGATTGGCCACAATGAATAAGAACATGGGCACAAAGAATGTCCTAAGACTGTTTACTGACATCTATTCTCCTAAAAAGGGAGTCAATAAAGTTGATTCTTGAATAGAAGAGTGCTGGCAAAGCAACATAACTAACATTTAACTGAAACCCATAAAGTGGTTGTATTATATTCGACTATATTCTCAAAGACACCATGTAGATTTTTACTAGCTCCTTTTCTTCATTAAAGTTTCTCATTCGTAAGATGAAAGCTTCCATATCTCCCGAAAGTTTCTTGTGCCTTTTCTGGAATAAATTAAATAAACTTCATTTAAAGCACACCAGATGATGTCAAGAGCATATGAAATATAAATTTTTGGTTCAACCACAATTGGAGCTACGGACGTTGGGTTTCTCCTTGTTCAACGTCTCTTGGTTCTCTCAAGGACAATGGATTGAGTCTTAGCTAGATCAATGATACAGACATTTGCAGAGATAGGAACACAGCTTGGAGGACTATCTCAGCATGTCTTCTTTGATCTATTTAGAATTGGAGAAAGAAAGATTGTTCCATACTAGCAAGTAATGGTGTTAGGAGTAATAAGAAAATCATTTCTTCCTTCATTAATTGTTTTGGTCTAAGCAGTGAATTTTGCCTTTTAATCCATTAATATGCAGCAGTTATACTAAGGACAAGGTCTCCCCTTCAAACTGTATCAGCATACCATTCTCCAGTCCTTAACCATACCATTCGGAAACCAAATACTGTTTTCTACCAAATGTGAGAACAAAGAAGTGCACGTTTTCCCATTTGGCTCTTCCTAATTCCTATTTTTCTTAATCTTTCCGTAATCTTCTGCACTTGGTCTATGCTACATGGCCTCGGGTAGTAATGAAGCTTACAGATGCATGTCTGATTTTCCTAGGCTTTTTACTTAGAACATGTGGGTGATGCTAAAAATTTTGGCAGAAGAAAGTTAGGCACAGTATGCATCAATTTCAAACTAAACTATTATCATTTTAAATAAAGGAACTGCTATACATCTTTTTCTGGATCTTCTTTCTCAGGTTACTAGGTTAGGCCATAAAAACTGATCCTCCCCTTTTCCCCTCCAAGTCACCTGCTCCTAAGTCCAGCAAAGCTCCTTATTTTTGGTGGATTTTGTTGTATTATTAGTCCGTTAGCGCAAAAAAAATGTGCCATAGATACAAGAGATGTAAGAACAAACATGCAGAGTGAAGAATACTCCCTTACTTGAATGTCATGTTTCGAATTCTTTTATGGTTATGGTTTCTTAAAAGAAAGTTGAAATGTTCATTTCCTAACTTTTTAAATTTTTAGCAGGAAAGGTGAAAAAGTATGGTTCAAATGAAAGTTTGTTCCCATGTCACTTTTTGTTAGTAAAGACCAAAGAGAAAGCAAAAATTAAATGTCTTTGTTATGATCTAAAACTCATCTGGAACAAAACCTAAAGTGAAATGTGGCTCTACACTTTGTAAATACAACTGCTGAAACAGAACCATAAGAAAAGCTAAGTAAAAAGAGTACACCTACCCGCAATAACCACCACCATGCAGGCAAAAAACAACAGGCCCTTCAGTCCCTGCCATATAAACATGAAATACCTGAAATGACAAAGCAAATAAAAGATGATCTTGCTACTTGACTACGAAAAAAAGAGCAGAAAAAGAGTAGTAAGGAAAAAAAACAAAGTAATACTAATATACTATGATAAACTCTCAGGCAGACAGAAATATTTTTCTCAAGAAACAACTGAGTTTTCAAATACTAAGAAAATTCAACAGAAGTTAGAACCAACATCGTCTGAGTCCGGGATCTGAATATCATCTTCTCGATCGAAATAATCTGACCAGTCTAAAGGTGCATATTTCTGTGAAGATGTCCTGCAGCAATAATTAAGACAATTTTTCAGTCAAAAATATGTGATTAATAAAAAACAATAAATTTCGTGGACAAAAAAAAAAAAATCTACACTTCTACCATTCTGGTGTTTAATTGCAACAAAGACACCTTTGTCTAACCTAAAGCTCCTAAAAGAGCTCCCCGATTACTAATATGCTGGCATCAAGTAGAAGTTTTTAATTTTATTAAGTACAATATAAATTTCACTAAACTGTACTTGAGAAGTGCATATATATTAACAGAAAAAAGTATTGAGTCTGCTCCTAACATTGTAGGGAATAGGAAAGTTCCAGAAAAGAATTATCATTGTTTCCAATAGTCAGATTACATTACACCAGGAATTTAACAATTTGTAAACATCTAGAGCAAAAATTAGCTAGAATCTCGTCTTCAAAANGAAAGATCCTTAGTCTACTTTTTTTATAACTCTATTTTATTTTTATTCATGCGTGATTACATACAATACGTATAATTAATGTATAATGGTAATACAGGTTGGTTTTGAAGAAAAATGCACCAATCATGCTACTAAGAAATTTGGATCCTTCAAACGGATTATGCAATGGTACAAGAATGATATGCAGAGGTTTTGCCAACAACATTATACATGCAGAAATAATGATGGGGCAAAATGCTTTCAAGCATGTGTTTATTCCAAGAATTCAACTTTCCCCGCCAGAAAATGAAGGATACCCATTTAAATTCATCAGAAAATAATTTCCAGTACGTTTATGTTTTTCAATGACAATAAACAAAGCACAGGGTCACACAATACCCAACGTTGGATTGTACTTGCCACAACATATTTTTTCACATGGACAACTATATGTCGCACTATCAAGAGGTATATCGATGTCAACAACAAAAGTTTTGGTCATGACAGAGCAACTGAATAGACGAAGGGGCACATACACCAAGAACATTGTCTACAAAGAGATATTAGGTAAGATACAACAACATAACATGTTATTAACTCATATAATATATTATCTGTAATTACAAATGTTATACATACCACGACCTTAACTAATTGTAGTGCTTATATTTGCAGGTTCAGAAGATATTAACCATATTTAAATTCATCTATTACATCAGTGTAATGACACTCATGTTCTCATTTCAGTTTCATGTTGAATTTATTTTGACGTCAATTACTATTATACATAGTTCATTCACGTGATATATAATTTTGTTACAAACAAACGCGGCTTACACGTGCAACGCACGTACCCCAAAACTAGTTTTAAAAATATAGGTATACATTAAATGGGGGCGACCAAATAAGATGTCTCTGTGCAATTTTTACATACATTATGGGGTTGCAATGGGCCTAGAGCCCAATTTAGCAACTCCTGGACAACCAGTTTCTAGGAATAATATGTTCCCAACAGGTTGCAAAGTTTCAGAATTATACAAACGGAATGTGGAACGCGGATCATTGGGCTTAACATAAATGAATTAATATGGGCTGAAGTCAGATGACTCCTATTTATAGGTTTATTATTGGATAGTCTTTATCTTCTTTTATGAATCAATCCACAACGTATAATTGTATCATTTGAGTTAAATATCTTTTGATATTTTAAAAGTGATATCTCATGTTTATTAAAAATTATTCCAGTCCAACCATCAACCAAGATTCTGGCATCCTGTCGCTGGAAATCACCAGGACTTTAGCTGGCAAGCAAAGACTTCAGCACCTGCACACTGGAATATTCAAGGCAACTTGCATGTTGGCTGTAGCCTGTAGCAACAACGGTTTGAAGCTAGATATTTTTTAAAGAATGATCCAAAGATACTAAGCTCAGTTTATTTTATTTATAACAATCTGCAAATACACTGTGAAACTAAAATAGGTTTCACATGGTTTATCCAAATCTTATGCAATCCGATCCAGCTCCAAAAATTGAAAAAAAAAATTGCAAGAGCAATCTATATCTAACGTCAATCTAGTCTAGAGGGGACAAAATGGTTAAAGGAAAACAGTTATCCATCCGCATTATCCATCAAAAAATGAGTTGGATAATGAACTTTTTAAAAACGGGTCGAATATGGATAAGAACCATATTATCCACTTAGAAAATGGTTAACCAAATGGATAACCAATGGATAACTAATGTGTTTAACTTTTACATTTGTAAAGCCTCAAGTTTGGGAGACGAGGAATTCTCCCATAAGTGATTATATTCAAGAAGCAATGAATAATATGGATATCCATATTATCCGCCGGATAACCCATTTTTTATCCGTCTCGAAAACGGGTCGGGTCAGATAATTTATCCGTTTTTTGAATTACCCGTTTTCAACCCGCTCATATCTGACTCACCCGTTTGCCACCCCTAATCTAGTCTGCACCCATTTTCTTGACAACCCAACACATGCATTTCTGTGAAACAAGGTCCATATTGCAGCGACGGATAAACACATGAAAGGAGCAAGCTGAGATTGCATTCAAGTTTTCAGATAGTGTCAACCTGATCCATTATATGTATAAAATAAGATAATTAAAGGCTAATGTGCAGATATTATAAACTACATCCGCTCTACCCATATTGAATTCAATTCGTGGATCCATCTTTACACAAGAACTTTCTTTTGGTTACTCAACATGAGATTGTATGGTCGAAATCTGACCAAACGGGAATCTCTGTGAAGAGGAACGGCAAAAAGTCACTTGGGTCGAAGTCGTATTCGTATAACGCTATAGCGACAAGCACCTCGGCCACGGCCGAGGTCGTGTACTCAGAATGCTTGTACGGTAAATTGGTTGTTACAGCATTTCAGAGGGTCAATCTGTAATATAGTTAAATAACTTAGGTACTCTGGCTAATGACCGTTGTGTAAATGAGAATACTTAGTATATATACCAGGTGAGAGAACTAAAAAGGGGGATTCTCACAAATCACAGACTTCTTCACTAACAGGGGATAGGAATAGGAGAATCCATCTCGAAGACGAGAGAAGGTTCAGAACTTTACTATTCATCTTCTACAGCCATCGTTATGGAATAAATAAAGACATACCCCGTGATAATTAAGGTGATTTCTTTCCTTCTTCTTTGTTTTACATTGTGGATTAACGATGTCGAGAATAAATGTAAGCTCATCATATACATTAGATTTTTTCCATTGTCTTAAAGAGTTCATGAGCTTAATCTTACTCAACTCTTCTTACTTATCATCCATTAATCTAGAGTTAATTATCTTTGGCTAGAATTTACCCCTTATCCTATCTTTAAATTGGTTTAACTAAAAAAGAGCTTAACACTTTTTGGTCGAACAATTTGGCGCCGTCTGTGGGGATTTTCTAGCCAAAGCCTTAGTTCCCTCTAGATCCAAACATGGTCATATCTCTATCTCCCATTCGGTGAAGTTTCACCCTTTCATTGCGAATGTCGACTTGCGAAACCGGTCAGTAAACCCCCGAAATCGCCAAACCAACCAAGGATAAATCCTTACACGAAACCGGAGTTATGTCTCGTTTACACACGAAAACTGCGCTGCGCCACAGCAGCAGCCCTGATGCATTATGAACATGAGCCATCATAGGGGGACTACAACTACGCATACCAAACGCGTCCGTAATCCCATTTCCAGGTTAGTGCCCAACGCCTCCTACATCCTGTGCATATCACTTTCCTTCCTACTATATGAGATGATGCTTGTTGTGTAATTTACTGACTAAAATACTCCTCGTATGTAAGTTTGCGGTATTATATTTCTGCCATCTTTGCGCGCCCGGGACTGATGAACTGGGACTCGAACTCGAGACCCTAACAGGGGAAGTGGATCGTCTACCCACGAAATACCAAAGCTCAACCGGTGACGAGGCTGAGCGTAAAGCTGAAGCCAACATCATCAGGCCAGAAACTAGTATCAACCGGGAACTCCATAGGTCTAAAACGCGCAACGATCGGGGGAAACGTGGCCAATCCCCCTCATTCATCAGCTAAACAACCGACCAAGGTAATAGATTATTCCATGTACTTCTAACCCGCTATTCAATCTTACAAAAAAAAGAAGTGGAACAGAGAACAGGGACGTTCTCCCAAATACGCGAACGAAGGCTAGCCGACATACAGGATCTAAATTCCTCCCTACGGCGAACGGCAAATCGGGAAAACCCTCCAAACTGTACTATATTACGAATAGCAGGCAAACGGCTCAGAACAAGCCGACATCATTAAGAAACAATCTCCATATCCTGGGACTGAGCGGTGAGCCCATGGATCGTACAATCTCCCCAATACAGGCAGAACATGAACACGAAAAGCTTGCCCGTATGCTCGCCATGGCGATGCTACGCCAATTCAGCCGACTAAATACTACGAGCCACGTCTGAACTTCGTTCAAATTAATCGAGCCCCAGGGTGCCCGGAAGCCCAAGCAATAAGTTCATCGCCCGCCCCATCGACGGTCTCTCCAGGCCAAGCAATGAAGGGACCGGATAGACTGGGACTCACCCCGACGCATGCATAAATGATGCAGCAACGAGTAATATTCTCCAATAAAAACAAGGCAGCATGCAACATTCTTACCACTCCACCGAGCCCACACATCACCAAGCGAAAGTGAAATTCGACCTCGTTCAAATCAACAAGCCAAAGTTTGACCTCGCTCGAACTCATAACGGGTTACAACTCGACCTCGATCGAATTTACACCCTTACGGCCCCCGGCCATCGCTAAGCGAAAGTGAAATTCAACCTTGCTCGAACTCATAACGGGTTACAACTCGACCTCGCTCGAATTTACACCCTTACGACCCCCGACCATCGCTAAGCGAAAGTGAAATTCAACCTCATTCGAATCAACAAGCCAAAGTTCGACCTCGCTCGAACTCATAACGGGTTACAACTCGACCTCACTCGAATTTACACCCTTACGGCCCCCGGCCATCACTAAGCGAAAGTGAAATTCGATCACGTTCGAATCAACAAGCCAAAGTTCGACCTCGCTCGAACTCATAACGGGTTACACCTCGACCTCGCTCGAATTTACACCCTTACGGCCCCCGGCCATCGCTAAGCAAAAGTGAAAAGTTCGAATCAATAAGTCAAAGTTTGACCTCGCTCGAACTCATAACAGGGTTACAACTCGACCTCGCTCGAATTTACACCCTTACGGCCCCCGGCCATCGCTAAGCGATAGTGAAATTCGACCTCGTTCGAATCAACAAGCTAAAGTTTGTCCTCGCTCGAACTCATAACGGGTTACAACTCGACCTCGCTCGAATTTACACCCTTATGGCCCCCGGCCATCTCCAAGGGAAAGTAAAACTTGACCTCGTTCTAATCAACAAGCCAAAGTTCGACCTCGCTCGAACTCATAACGGGCCACAATTCGACCTTGCTTGAATTTATACCCTTACGGCCCGCGGCCATTGCCAAAAACTTTGGCTTTCATTCAAGCTAATGAAGTTCGACCTCGATCGAACTAACGAAGTAAGGTTCGACCTCGCTTGAACTAACAAAGTATGGTTCGATCTCGCTCGAACTAACAAAGTAAGGTTCGACCTCACTCGAACTAACAAAGTTCGACCTCGCTCAAACTAACAAAGTTCGACCTCGCTCGAACTAACAAAGTTCGACCTCGCTCGCACTAAAAAAGTAAGGTTCGACCCCGTTCGAACTAACGAGATGAGATCCGACCTCGCTCGAATCACGAGCTAATTCGACCTCATTCGAATTCCCAACTAAAGATCAGGGACTCATCACGGGAAAATCTGAAGATCTTTTTCAAAAAAATGAATGAGAAAGAAAGTCTGAGATATGCAACCAAAGGCAAACCAACTATGTTATTCAGAAGATATACATACACGACAGCGTCTTACAAAAGGCCAAAAGCCCCCCCCCCCCTAAAAGAAAACAAGCAACAACCAAGAACAAAAAAAGTGCTAAGT